TTGTCTTACATCAGAGGATCAAGCAGACACAGTTAGTTATAAAAGGCATTTATAACACTCATTTACCAGAAGTCAGTTTCTTACTTGGATTTCTACCTTGTCATTCAGAATTATTTATAATGTGATCTGCAACCATTGGAGAGAGATGATTAGCTAATAACAAGCAAGCAATTATCAAAAGAAGGCACCAAACTGGGGAGACTATGAAGCATCATCAAAGTTGTAGGATTATCAAAAGGTGTTAAATATCACTGAGAATGACAATGCTAGAACAAAAGCGTACAAGGCGAGCAATATCAGAGGCATTGGATTCTATCGAGGGACAGGTGGGAGGCAAGACACGCACATCCTGATAGTCAGGATATTCAACAAGGATATGCACAACTATAAGAAACAATGCAGTTTGGACAATAAGGAGCAGGGCGGTGTTCCATTAAGTATCGTGGAATTAAACGCGTATGGCCAATACATCACCGCACCAGAGATGTTTCTAGTTACTGTGGTAGGAGGGCCAAGGGGACACGCTACCCTTAAGAGTACGCAATTTGTTATCAGTAATAGAAGACTAATGACCCTGCCATTGGGCATGTTTTGGGGAATGAATGAATGGGTAGAAATTGGAATAGGTACTGCCTTTTCAAGCTACTCTTTGACATTGCTAATTCTCTCTCTTTTTTTTTTCTGTTCTTAATACAGTATACAGAAACTTAGTATTCTGTCACTAAGACAATACTATATAACCATACTGGCATAGCACTTTCTTTTGATGATTATTAAAAGTTAAGCCTACAAAATAGGTTACTGAATTTGACCCATTTGCAATAAACATTTGAAGTAAAACAAAAAAACATCCATTTTTGACTATATAAACATCCAGACACAATTTTCAAGTTCAGGATCTTTATCATTCTCGACTTGGAACGTGAAACTTCATACATTGTGTGAACGGCACAGGCAAAGAGTAAGTAATTATAAAAAAGAAGGCACTAAGCCAGGAAGACTTTAGTAGCATGTAAAGAGTAAGAAAACTTGAGAAAAAATATATATATATATTGTGCATATTGGGAGGCCACTGAGGGAGGGGGGGGGGGAGGGGGAAAGAGTCACACTGTCTGTGGACTGATGCAGTGTAATACTGTTGGCTCATGAAGTAAAACAAGCTGTAAACTAGTAAAACTTTACAACGCTACTCTGTATACATAATGTCTGACTAGTGCTAGATTTTGCAGTGCTATGCCAGCCTGGAGTCACCCACCTCAAAGCATAAAGGTTTGCTATAAGACTAGTTCCAGAATATAGGAGGCTGAAGGAGCCAAACTTAATGACACTGGAAGGAAAAATAGAGAGATCGTTATCCAGACTTAAAATACACTCGGGAGGGATTGGGGATCAGTGAAACAGAAGTAGGAAGTTTAGATCATTAGATTAGGACAAGTAATAGAGGGTAATAGTAAGCAGGTGAAATTAAATTGTTCGTGCCACCTCCATCCAGTGTTAAAAGCAGAATTATAAGAGAGAATAGGGAGTAATTGCATCAGATGATTGGTGGCAAGGTAAGACCCAGGAGATGAAGTACAGTCCTGTAAACTCTTGTTAGGAAAGAGCAGTATGACTCTGCAGACCAATGCCCCATCCACATTACTTATGGTTTACCTTCACAATCCCAAAAGATAAGCATGACATCTTTGCCTTGTCCATGAAATTCCTAAAGGATATTTGCCACAATTCTCGGGAATACATTGAGCAGTAGGAAATATGCCGCTTTTAAAACTGTCCCTATGCTACAGATTTTACCACTTGATGGCAATACCGCCACCTGCAACCGTACACCAATCCAACTACTGTACATACGCACTCTCACCCTGTGACACTGATACCCTCTGGATGTTGTTTCAGCAGTGTCCACCACTGTACTTTTAGTGGGCAGTCTCTCGGCCCAACTTGCATACCTGTGGTTGCAGATGGCTGTGTACTGTGTATTACGATGTCTTATGCCAGGTTGGAGCACCCTCACGTTGGCTATCCTTGGATAGGTAATCTCATTTAAAATTCAGATGGAGTATGAATTAAGGCATACAACATCTGGTTATATGAAAAGATGATAAAGGCTATACATCTCATTGTATCAACATGGGTGAATTGTCGCCACTGTGTTTGCTACAAGCTGTGGTAGCGATGACGAGGAGGATGCTGTTAGGTCAGTGGATGACCTCATTTCCAACTGTCGAGCTAGCTACACAATGGATGCTCCCAATGACATCAGAGGGACCTATGGTTGAGCCAATCAGATGTTGGGTTAAGACAGTAGCTGCATTCTGATTAGTGGTCTATGTAGAGGTTTCGTGGTAACAAATTGCGAGGTGTGGGCCATCTACCCATGCCAGCATTTATTCTCGGTGAGGACACCCTTATGTTGAGACATGAAGCTTTGTCTGTTCTACAGAGTCATGTGGCTGGCAGTCCCAGAGTACTGGACTCTGGAAAATTTAGCTCGACTCCTCTGGTGATCGATTCCCGTGGTGGCGTGTTGAAAACATCAGCCATGGAAATGGACCTCTGCAATAATGAAACCCTATTCAACGACAGCAAGGAAGTGCGAGAACCGATTTCTGTGAAGTAAGTGCTCTGTAACTTTGCACACACATTGTCTCATTCATGGTGCTTTAGTGTCGCTTAGTTGAAACTGGAAGAGTTGTTGACTGAAGGTCAGTGCGGCTGTTTTGAGCAAAGACCCCTCAAGTGCTTCGTCACATGACCGAGCACGTGATGTGATTTATTTCCAACACATCAGACTTTATGTGCATGCAATTCTGCATATCGAACTTACCAGAATTATCCTTTTACTAATACAGCAGTGGTGTTAGGCAGCTATTAATTATAGTGTGTGTCATATTATATTGTGTTAAGGTTTGGGAGCACTGACTACAGGTTGTAAACATGCTTATGACGCTCAATAAAGTAAAGACAATTATCACCAAACATGTAAATATATGTTCTTAAGGTTAATAAACTAGTCTTTGCAAGATATACTGTACATGGTTGTACAAGTGAATCCCTTCTCCATCGTATATAAATATGTCATGCTGATAAATTTGATCCATATTATGTTAGCACAGCATCAACTATACATTAATGTGAACTGAAACTTATTCCCTGCTTTACACAAGATTTTGAAGCGATCTATAATTTGGCAGAATTCACTTTGGATTATGTGATGTTGGTCCAGGCACTTTACATGTGTTGATAACCACCGTGAGCAGTTGGCCATCCTGCCTTGTCATTGCTGCACACACACACACACCAGTCACCAGCAGAGTCCCACAGGGCTCTGTACTCGGTTTTATCTTGTTTCTGATATATGCAAATGATCTCCCGGAGGGTATAGCTTCATTTCTCTCAATGTTTGCTGACGATGCCAAAATTATGAGAAGGATTAAGACAGAGGAGGACTGTTTGAGACTTCAAGAAGACCTAGACAAGCTGAAGGAATGATCGAACAAATGGTTGTTAGAGTTTAACCCAAGCAAATGTAATCTAATGAAGATAGGTGTAGGGAGCAGGAGGCCAGATACTAGGTATCATCTGGGAGATGAAATTCTTCAAGAGTCAGAGAGAGGAAAAAGACTTGGGGGGGTTGACATCATGCCAGACCTGTCCCCTACAGCCCATATCAAGAGGATAACATCGGCAGCATATGCCAGGCTGGCCAACATAAGAACGGCATTCAGAAACTTGTGTAAGGAATCATTCAGAACTTTGTATACCAACTATGTCAGGCCAATCCTGGAGTCCATATCTAGTCAAGGATAAGACTAAACTGGAAAAGGTTCAAAGGTTTGCCACCAAGCTAGTACCCGAGCTGAGAGGTATGAGCTATGAGGAGACGCTACGGGAATTAAACCTCACTTCGCTGGAAGACAGAAGAGTTAGGGGGGGGACATGATCACCACTCAAGATTCTCAAGTAAATTGATAGAGTAGATAAAGACAGACTATTTAACACAAGGGGAACACGCACAAGGGGACACAGACGGAAACTGAGTGCCCAAATGAGCCACAGAGATATTAGAAAGAACTTTTTTAGTGTCAGAGTGGTTGACAAATGGAATGCATTAGGAAGTGATGTGGTGGAGGCTGACTCCATACACAGTTTCAAGTGTAGATATGATAGAGCCCAATAGGCTCAGGAACCTGTACACCTGTTTAGTGACAGTTAAGAGGCAGGACCAAAGAGCCAGAGCTCAACCCCCGCAAGCACAATTAGGCGAGTACACACACACACACACACAGGTGGTCCAAACAAAGATATTTTGGACACCCATACTAGAAATGGTAAGTAAGCTCATATGTTTCAACAATTGTAATTGACTGGGAATAACAATTAAAATTATTGTAGAAAGACAGTGTATGTAAAAATCAGAAAACAGTACGACTCAAGAGAATATATGGTGATGGTTGATCATGTTGAATAAATGACAGATGAAAAGACTATCACATTTCTATCCTTCCCTTTCACAGTCATTTGTTTCAGGGCGAATCAGTTGGATAGTCTTAGGCTAGGAGCAAGTAAACGAGAGAGAAAACAAAATTTGCCGTGAAACTGATGATAGAGGTGAATGTGGTCCCTGGGTAAATCCCAGGGTAGGAGGAAGATGCAAGTGAAATATATGGCTAAGTGTAGAGAACAAGGCCATGAGTGGCCTTGAGAATGAGAATTCCTTTGCATGACTAGATATGGATGATTTCCTCAACCTTTAGAGATGCCAGATCTATGTGACTGTTTAAAGTAGTGCATATACAGTAACAAATGTATGGAACGTCCAGCAACCTTTAGCTTTTTCCATACTGCTCCTGTCTTCCTTTGTGCCGAATGACTCGTGCTGGCACTAAACTTCTCTGACCGTTTATCGTTTATTAGAAGAGTTTATCTCTTTATTAGAAGTCTCCAACCCATAAAATTGAAAATAGGTTTTGTAAGTTGTTTGTGAATTAAATACCAAGTGTTCAAAACAATTCATTAATATTATTCAACAAAATATATTTGAAAGTGATAACTACAGTCAATGTCTACATAACAACATGTAACCTTCCTGCTTATGAAGTGGAACACCACTTGGAAAATAAATTTTCAAGAATTGTACCGTAACAATATTTTAGCAAGTGACAAATACTAGTTCTTGACAGATACTAAGTACAGAAGGCAGTGTGAAAAGGTGTTCCACAGTTACAGTTCGTTCTCGTTCTCTCTCTCTCCCGTTCTCTCTCTCAACAGGTACCCAGTATATCCTGTCAGAGAAAGTGCATCTACAATTCCACAAATATATAATAGATCATTTTCATGGCAAGAAAATTAATTTTTTATTTGATATTTGTATATAAATGGCTCAGTATCTTACTACAAACAGAAAGCCATAAATTTATTATGACAAAAATAGTTGTTTGCACGTTTAATAAAATGATAAAAAAATACAATTATTACAAAATATTATTTGGAGAGAGTAAATTATATGAATTATAAAATGTAACTTTAGCTCGACATATATTTTCAAAATATCAGGTATAATTTTACAAACTCATTAACTGAAATAATCAGATTTACAAGGCCACTCACATCTGAACGTCCCACAGGAACTAACTCATATACAATAGGGGCATGAATGTTTATAACAAATTGCTTAAAAATATATATACAATATATATATATTATAAAATACATTGATCAATAACAGCTATGCACACAATATATATGCTAATTAAGTAATTTGGATATATTATAATTTTATCTATACAGTAAATACCTTTAACATCTTTATTTCCCCTGGAACTCTTCCTTGAACGGGCAGCAACAATTGTTATACAAATATTCAAACCATTTTCAATTCTTAGCGACTTGCAACATAAAGTACTCTGAAGAATTATCAACCTATCGTCAATTATCGTACAGTACATTACCAGCAAGAGGTTACGGCTGTAACAAGAACGCGTACAAGAAATAACACTTCCATCAGCAAGAGCCCAAAAATGTGCAAACAGACAACATGAAACCAACGACAAAAGGAACCAAATGTCTGCTAAATTTGAAGGGAAAACTGGGAATGTAACAAACCATCAGTGATGATAATAAAGCAGGAAGAACGAACATCTGTTGTTATCGAGAACAAATTCACAGTAATAATGGATATCTGGGACAATCAACATGCCCAGAGATGTACGGTAGCTGCTGCTTTACCTGCATTGTTTCAAGGTGATGTTGAATCGTACCAGCTTTTAAATACCAAAATGTGCCTGTTACAGTTAAGAGTATTCCCTTCAAAGTTATATTCTCTGTAATAATTAAAGAATAATCCAAAATTAAAAATAAACAGTATATATATATATAGACCTGACTTCTAATGTGTATAACAACATTCACTTTGGTTTCATCTATATATTCCCTCCCCCTTCTATACCAGAGATGATTCAAGTATTCTCTACTCTTATGGATTATCACACGACCAAGAGGAGAGACACTCGCCAAGAACCAAAACTGACTGAATGGTGATATTTGATTACCTTGCCTATACATTACTTTGCAGACATTATTTTATGCCTAGTAGACTTACAATTACACGAGTAAGATATTAAAGCATAATGTGGTCATGTGTGTGTTTGTAGTTCTTAGTTATAAAGAACATAAAAATTTTAATCTCTAGTATAATACAGTACCCCCATTTGTGCATCTTATAAAACAAGGTTAAGCCACATACTGTATAATCAAATATTAGTATTATAAATATGTACTGTATATATACACAATTTATCTATTACCCTGAACCCCCCAAAAAAAATTTGTTTGTGGGGGAAGGGATGAAGGAGCAAATCAATAATGCTAATTAAAATTCTAGAAGTCAGGCATATTAAGATAAGTGTCATTATGGGAAAATGTAAAGTACCACCTCAAGACCTCAACCCAAAAAAGTATCTACCAAAAAGCTGGAGAAGCATCAAAGATTTTTACATGCATTCAAGTACCCAAAATTTCAACACAGTGCAGGCGATGAGTCACAATAACGTGGCTAAAGCAAGTTGACCAGACCACACACTAGAAGGTGAAGGGACGACGACGTTTCGGTCCGTCCTGGACCATTCTCAAGTCCATTGTGTATATATCGACTTGAGAATGGTCCAGGACGGACCAAAACGTCGTCGTCTCTTCACCTTCTAGTGTGTGGTCTGGTCAATTTCTATACAGTAACTGATTCTAGTTAGAAAGATAAGACCCAAGATACCCCTCACAATGCCCACTCAATCTGGAAGAGAAAGATGATTTTCCCAAAATCATCAATCATTTTGGACAATAACACAAATTAACAGTAAAACTCATGACCACAAGACAAGAAAAAAAAAAAAAGTCATTTTACAGAACACATCACAAGGATAATTAGCAAAAAGCTTGCAGAACTACATTTCAATCATTGACATGCATATGGTCATGCTAATAGTGACAATTCTGGTTTAGCGTACATCACATCACAGAGAAATAAACACTATACCTATTGCCAATCACAGAGGCGAGTAATATCATACAGTAGTGAGCTTGTGCCTCCAGGTATGAAATATGTACGTTTCCATACACAGCAAAATCTTTGTTATTTTTACCTTATTCACAAAATGAACAGATTTTATATAATTATCGATACAAAAATCAGTTCTTATTATTTCACACTAACATTAAATTTAAATAAACATACAAATTGCTTCTATACAATTCTATATATATATACAAAAAAAGATGAAGCACATGAAAATTTGATCAAGACAAAAGTGATAAACAATTATTTTAGAAGCCCAGTGACCACCACAAATCAAGAGAACCCCAACATCAACAACATCAACAGTACACACAGAAAGCTGATAATGCCTTATGGCACCAACCGACCTGTTTCAAGTCCTCGTTAGGCATTACCAATGCTAATTAAAAGTAATTTAGTAAGCATTTATGTGATTCCATTAGACTTACATAGGTGTAAAAATTAAAGTGTTAGTAATAACAGTGCAAAGTATTGACACTGGCATAACAATCCAAGTTAAGATGACAGGGTATTATACACTGGCACATCTTTATCGTATCAGAGGTGCCGATAATCACTCAAACATGAATGGACTGTCATGGAGGTGCACAATATACAACCCACGTAAGAAATCATGTCATCGTATCTTAATGTACAGGAATATTAAACGATTCACAGATAACGACTCTAAATGAAGTGTTTGCAACTAAAATTGTCTGATATGTTTTACATTAAGTTTTTATGCCACACAAAAAGTTATTAAGAGGTTGACACACTCTTCAAACAATATGCAGAGTTGTCATGCAATCCCAGCACTGGATTTCATGCTAAAATACCATCATAAAGTACAGTAAAGTACATACCTACAGTACCCACCAATTTGAATACAAGTTGTATATGTGCATGTATAAAGCCCAAATTATTTATCAATATTAAAATCTTGAGCCAAATGTTGGCAATTTTTTAATTTCTAGGTTAACTTGTATTAATAAGGGTAAGGCCAGGGATTTTGTAAGTACATACTGGTACAGACTAAATTTCATTGACAATCAAGTTATTAGGAATATTTAGTTGCCAAAGAATGTTTTTATTATTGTGTCAGTATCATAAAGTATTTGGCAAATGGAAATGTTACATCACCAGAATTCCATTAGTAGGCAAATGTACTTCCACCCTTTAGTATTTGTTTTTCTAATGACAGCTTACACTAAATCAATGTTTTAAATCATTTTGATAACACACACCTGTACAAGGCCATTACAAACTTACAAAAAATACTATTGGGTAGCCTTTCTTACGAACCAGAAAAATATATATACCTTAAAAGAACTAGTAGGAGCCTCGCATCTACATCATTAATGCATCAGTCACTGTGTTCTTTTTTCTTAGCGGTGGTGACCTTTGATATTACAGCAGACGCTCCACTTGCCACCGTGCCGGCTGTTCCCACAACCACCGACCCGGCTGTCCCCACAACACCCGCACCTACACTATATGTTGTTCCTGCCACCCACTTGACACTGGTAACACCAGCACCCACAGTAGATGACCCTACAAGAAAAATGGCATATATATTTTTTTTTTGTTAACAAACCTGCACTGTACATTATACTTTTGATTGTGTAATCGTGTAGGTTTAGACTTTAACAGTAAGGTTAAACTAAATCACCGTTTCACACATTTTAGAACATCTTTTGTCCATTATATATACATTTTTCAAATGACACTATTGAATAACATTACTGTATTGAAAAATAAAATAAATGTGTCATTAACATAAATATCTATAAAGATCTTCGGGGAACTTCCGCCTGCCCCAGACCCACAACAACAGGACGATTGCTCTATGAACCTCATGCATCTTGACATCATTGACATTTCTTCACTTCATAGCCAAAGCCACAATTTTTTTTTTCCAGCGATAACAAAGCATTTTAACAATATGAAAATAATTTTGTTTTCTTTAATTTTTCTCCAAGCAGCAGGGCACTGTCTCTTATAAACAGTGGTGCAGCCAAGGGGTTAATGAGACTTCGGACGACCTGTGACAAACAAGCCCTTATTGAAGTGGAATGTTTAGCTCTAGTGCACATTCTCTCAGAACCCAAGGTGAAACTAGTCCAACTGCTTTATTTTTTCCTAGCTCAGTAATTTTTCCCACTTCGTCTCGAGACACCTCTGTATACTCTATGGTGTTCTCTGGAATTAGTATGGTGTCTGGTTCTCTCAAAACCCCATTTTGCAGAATAACTTTGGAACTGTTCATTTAGTGTTTCACACATTTCCTTTTCACTCTTGGCAAATCTGTTCTCCATTTTCAATCTATTTCATCATGTACAAGCGGCTTGCTTTTAATAAATTTATAGAAAAGGCCTGATTCTGTTTTACAGTTGTCTGCTATCCCTTGCTCGCATCCTGAGAGAGCAGAGCAAACAAGCAGCTCAAGCGGCATAAAGAAAGCACTGCCCAAGAACACCCGGAAGATGAAACACACTTCTCACCACTCCAGGTTTGACAGAAGCCCTACCAATACCTGAAGTAAAGGAGGGGTTTGTAAGCAAGCCAGGAAGAATCAGAGAAGCCAAACTCTAAAGAGGATGGGTCCAGGAGGGAAGCAAGCTCCTGCAGGAGGGAACCAAAAAATGTCTGCCCATGAAAATGAAGGCAAAAGACAGGGCAACAGGAACCTCTGAAAAGACAATTATGCAGAACCAAAGAGCAAGCAGAAGCACACCATGGGGGATGGGAGGTGATAGGGGTGGAGAGTGTTGAGGGGAGCCAAGCAATCGAGCGCATAGAAAGAAGAGTAATAGAAGAAATCCTTTCATGAGCAAAACCTCTCAGAGGGAACCAAATACTGTACCAGGAGCAATGGAAGGGCACCCGCAAACCCCCTTTGGGCTTTTCCCAAGCCCCAGGGTCCAGTTATGATGGCCCCGGAACAGAACTGTATTCTGTTATTCCGTGCCCAATGCCTGGTACAGATTGACATCATCCAACAGAGCAAGATCGGAGTCAGGTAACTGTTGCAAATTTAAAGACTCCACATCCCCCAGTGGGTAGGGATGGCTCAACTGACTCCATCAACCAAGGGGCAACATCAGGAGTTGGCCAAGCTACATTAACAACTAAACCCTGACCTGACAAACCCTCAGACATTTCAGAGCTTTAACCAAGGAAAGGAGAGCTCAAATGTTGGGAGCATGAAACCAGCAGGGAAAGGAAGAGTAAACAGACCAAGTGGAATTCACCTTCTCCAAAATTAGATTCCTAAACACCCAAAGGGCCATCTCTGGGGCATCCAATTTTGCTGCAAACCATGAAAGTGGGGAAAAATAACCCCACAAAGCAGCAGCTACCTGAAAACCCTCCTGTCCCAAGATAGGATCTGATAAAGACGCAGAATGCACAAAGACACAGGACTCTTCAGTTGAAGGACCAAATAAACAGCAAGAAGGAACATGTGCATGCACGTATGCACACATAAGGCATAAGGCCCACAAGCACAAAGGCAGTGCAGCCAGACCAGCACCATGTGGAATCCTAAAACCAAAGCAGAACAGAAGCAGCCAAGAGAAGGACAGGAAACCTGACTTAAGGCCTCAAGCAAGAACCAGCCAAGCATGATCCCCAGGACTGAAGCAACTGGCATCTTAGCCAAGCGAACACGATGTTGCTGGAAGCAAATGAGCCGAAGAAATTCAAGAAAACATTTATACACCAACAATTACTGTACTCCCAATCAATAAATGAAATGCACTGAAGAAAGAAGTTTGTGGAAACTGCCATCGACCACAATTTAATGCCAAATATGACAAAACTTGAATGCCAGAAATTAAATTAGAAAGCACCAGATATGACAAGACAGGAAACAAAAGGAAGGCACCACCTAACACGAAGCGGGAGTAGCTGGCACAGTACACCAGAGAGGGGAAGAAGGTGTAAATGTGCACCAGTTTATAAAGAGGCCATGCCAGAGAAGAAACCATGAGGAGAGAGAGTTACCATAGGCACAGCCCCACAAGTTAACTCGAGTAGCTTTCACATTCAATCCCAGAATTTTGGAAAACTTTGATTAACCTTGTTTAGTACATTTCCATGCTTACCTACGGTATAAATCCCAGAGGCTACTCCAGAAACTGCCCTCTTCAAATAGCCTGGAGATTGCTCTGGGCGAGTGTCGGGCGGTGTGGTGGGAGTAGTGGCTTCACTACGATCTGGACCTTCCACAGTACTAGATGTGGTTGATGTAGGAGAGGAAGGTGAGGTAGCATTAGATCCCTGAAATAATCAAATGATTAATATCCTACAACATACAGTACCGGGTACTCCAGCAGTGCACCATTACGATAGTTTGTTTAATTTTTGGTAAAACATCAAACTACTCTATGCCAATTCATGCATTCAAAATCAAACAAGATTCCAGATTTGCCAAAACATTAAATAATGCAGAGTCAAGAACCACTTCCAAGTTTTCATTTGTTGAACTTTAACAAATCGACACATGTGCTGAAGAACTTTACACTGGTGTCCCTTCTAACTACACTATATATTAACAAGAAAAAAGATTACCGTGCTATACATATATAAATTAAAACAACATTTCTCAACCAGGAAACAATCACAGAATCGCAGAACCAAGGTAACTAGGGGTTCTGCAAGAAAGTGATAAATAGGCTAATTTTACTCGTGTGCAAACATATTTCAGAGTTATTTGTGTGCAATTCTCATTAAACCAGTATCAAAAGCAAAGACAGAAATCATCTCCTTTCAATCGACAATAAAACCTATGTGTTTTTATCTAAAGTACAACCTGGAATTATTTCAAGAGTACATACAAAGGTTGAGAAACACTGAATTAAAGGATTAAGATACAGAAATATGATAAAACAATCTTAACAGAAAACACAACCAAGGCTCCAGGAATAATAGAGCCAAAACATTCTCCAGTAGGAGCTTTGCCCTATATTTAATCATACAAATCATTTTATACACCATTTGGGCAGTGCTCAAAATCAATGGAAAAATACAAAATTAAGGAAATACAAAGGATACAATGAGAATACAGTATTATCAAAATAGACTACACTGATAAGTCAATACATTAAAGACATTGCAGAAGACACGGCAAAATGTTTCAGGAGAATCCAAATTTATAGCTCCATTACTTAACTGCTGGCTTGAGCGTAATGAATGACTAGTGGCAAGTTACCTGTCACCGTGCAGGTCCGGCCACCCTCATGCACACTGGTGGCCACCTGTCACACAGCCTGGTGGCCACCTGTCACACAGCCTGGTGGCCACCTGTCACACAGCCTGGTGGCCACCTGTCACACAGCCTGGTGGCCACCTGTCACACAGCCTGGTGGCCACCTGTCACACAGCCTGGTGGCCACCTGTCACACAGTCTAGTGGCCACCTGTCACACAGCCTGGTGGCCACCTGTCACACAGCCTGGTGGCCACCTGTCACACAGCCTGGTGGCCACCTGTCACACAGCCTGGTGGCCACCTGTCACACAGCCTGGTGGCCACCTGTCACACAGCCTGGTGACCACCTGTCACACAGCCTGGTGACCACCTGCCATCCACCCTGGTGGCCACCTGTCACACAGCTTATTGGCCACCTGTCACGCACCCTGGTGACCACCTGTCACACAGCCTGGTGACCACCTGTCACACAGCCTGGTGACCACCTGTCACACAGCTTATTGGCCACCTGTCACACACCCTAGTGACCACCTGTCACACAGCCTGGTGACCACCTGTCACGCAGCTTATTGGCCACCTGTCACGCACCCTGGTGACCACCTGTCACGCAGCTTGGTGACCACCTGTCACGCAGCTTATTGGCCACCTGTCACGCACCCTGGTGACCACCTGTCACGCAGCCTGGTGACCACCTGTCACGCAGCTTATTGGCCACCTGTCACGCACCCTGGTGACCACCTGTCACGCAGCTTATTGGCCACCTATCACACACCCTGGTAACCACCTGTCACACAGCTTATTGGCCACCTGTCACGCACCCTGGTGACCACCTGTCACCCAAGCCAACAGAAACCAAACCAATATTACACGTGTCCCCCCCACCCACCCCTACACACCAGTGGAGACAACCTCGCCCCCTCCATCACAACACCAACAACCCAACAACTCTCCCCCATATATTTACCGGTCTCATGTACTCGTAGAGGCCCTTAACGTAGCTTGTCATGCTTGTAGGTGAGAGTAAACTGTGGCAGGAAGAGCGAGGAAGAGCCACGGCCTCACAGTCACCACACTCACAGTCGACTGGCAACCACCTCCTCTCCACCAGTCAAATGTCGCCAAACTCCAACAACCACCTGCATTAACCACCTACATTAACCCTCATCAATACCATCAAACTCATCACACAACTTTGGCTCTTAGGGGATATAATTGTCAGTGGCGAAATAGGTCAAAATGGGGCGAGAAATCAACGGGCTAAACACTGGCCTCTGTGTTGTTGTTTATTTTGCAGAGCTGCGCGTGGCACATCGTCCAAGGTGGACGCTGATTGGCCGAGACGCTCTCCGCTCAGCCAATCAGGGAGGTGGTGTCAAACGGTTATGTGCCAGCGCGGTGATGTTTGGCAGCTGTGGTGCCACATTGTTGGGTGGTGTTTGGCAGCTGTGGTGCCACATTGTTGGGTGGTGTTTGGCAGCTGTGGTGCCACATTGTTGGGTGGTGTTTGGCAGCTGTGGTGCCACATTGTTGGGTGGTGTTTGGCAGCTGTGGTGCCACATTGTTGGGTGGTGTTTGGCAGCTGTGGTGCCACATTGTTGGGTGGTGTTTGGCAGCTGTGGTGCCACATTGTTGGGTGGTGTTTGGCAGCTGTGGTGCCACATTGTTGGGTGGTGTTTGGCAGCTGTGGTGCCACATTGTTGGGTGGTGTTTGGCAGCTGTGGTGCCACATTGTTGGGTGGTGTTTGGCAGCTGTGGTGCCACATTGTTGGGTGGCGTTTGGCAGCTGTGGTGCCACATTGTTGGGTGGTGTTTGGCAGCTGTGGTGCCACATTGTTGGGTGGCGTTTGGCAGCTGTGGTGCCACATTGTTGGGTGACGTTTGGCAGCTGTGGTGCCACATTGTTGGGTGACGTTTGGCAGCTGTGGTGCCACACTGTCCCATGACGTTTGACAGCTGTGGTGCCTCACTGTCCCATGACGTTTGGCAGCTGTGGTGCCACACTGTCCCATGACGTTTGACAGCTGTGGTGCCTCACTGTCCCATGACGTTTGGTAGCTGTGGTGCCACACTGTCCCATGACGTTTGACAGCTGTGGTGCCACATTGCCCCATGATGTTTGACAGATGTGGTGCCACATTGTCCCATGACGTTTGACAGATGTGGTGCCTCACTGTCCCATGACGTTTGACAGATGTGGTGCCTCACTGTCCCATGACGTTTGACAGCTGTGGTGCCTCATTGCCCCATGACGTTTGACAGCTGTGGTGCCTCACTGTCCCATGACGTTTGACAGCTGTGGTGCCACATTGCCCCATGACGTTTGACAGCTGTGGTGCCTCACTGTCCCATGACGTTTGACAGCTGTGGTGCCTCACTGTCCCATGACGTTTGACAGCTGTGGAGCCTCACTGTCCCATGACGTTTGACAGGTATGATGCCACAGTCCCGTAACTTTTGGCAGCTGTGATGCCAAAATTTGGCTTTATGGCATAGCATACACTAGCTCTTTCTAGAAATCCAACTTTCTGCTGGTAAATCAATATTTATGTATGTACTTTTACCTAAATAAAAAATATATAATTTTAGTCCAGCGTTGCATGCTGACAACTAATCATCTGATAGTTATTATCAAGTCCTACATCAGCAATATTTTCTGATATTGTCTCTCTGATTATACAAATGACCCTGAAAGAAATATCCTACAGTTGGCCATAATCGTTGAATTATATTACAATGAAAATATGTATAATGTATAATACATATAATGTATAATATGTATAATACGGTGTGGCACCAATGAAGCCAAAATGAATTTGGGTTCATTGCCTTCTAACTTATTTTAAGCATTATATAACTATAAGAGCTAATTTAATCAAATGTAAAAAGTATACATGGCGAAACCAAATGTATTAATAATTAATTAAAATAATTATAACGAAATTGAGACCATCAAACTGAAATGACATACGGAAATAAACCTGAATATACCTGAGGGCCACTAGTACTCTAATGACCTCACGTTATATATATATATATATATATATATATATATATATATATATATATATATATATATATATATATATATATTTATATATTATATATATATATTATATATATATATTATATATATATATATATATATATATATATATATATATATATATATATATATATATATAGAGAGAGAGAGAGAGAGAGAGAGAGAGAGAGAGAGAGAGAGAGAGAGAGAGAGAGAGAGAGAGAGAGAGAGAGAGAGAGAGAGAGAGAGAGAGAGAGAGAGAGAGAGAGAGAGAGAGAGAGAGAGAGAGAGAGAGAGAGAGAGAGAGAGAGAGAGAAAATCTATAGTTGTATAAGAAATACTATAAAATGAATAATAATATAGGAGTAAAATAACATTATTAATTAAGATATAATAATTCATTAAAGTGTGTACAGTAACTATCTTATCTCGACTGTAATTACCTTGTTCAGCTAAATTAATTTTGGTTTCATTTCCTTGTCTCATTATGTGCCTCTGTAACCTTTTCCACTACCGCCCACAGGATGGGTATGGGGTCCATTACCACCCACAGGATGGGTATGGGGTCCACTACCGCCCAGGGGATGGGTATGGGGTCCACTACCGCCCAGGGGATGGGTATGGGGTCCACTACCACCCACAGGATAGATATGGGGTCCACTACCACCCACAGGATAGATATGGGGTCCACTACCACCCACAAGATGGGTATATGGAGACCCACCACCGCCCACAGAATGGTTATATATATATGGGGCCCACCACCGCCCACAGAATGGGTATATATATAAATATGGGGCCCACTACCGCCCACAGAATGGGTATATATATGGGGGCCCACCACTGCCCACAGAATGGGTATATATATGGGGCCCACCACCGCCCACAGAATGGGTATATATATATATATATATATATATATATATATATATATATATATATATATATATATATATATATATATATATATATATATATATATATATATATATATATATATATATATATATATATATGGGGCCCACCACCGTCCACAGAATGGGTATATATATGGGGCCCACCACCGCCCACAGAATGGGTATACATGGTTCCCACCATATATACCCATTCTGAATGGGTATATATATATATATATATATACCCATTCTGATTGGGTATATATAGTGATCCCACCTACAGAATGTATATAGTCTCCCCCAGCGCCCACAGCCTGGCCACAGCATACATACCGACGCCCCTAACTACCAAACGACAGAACCATAGCGCGGTTCTCAGTATGTTCGGTAATACGTTTATTGCTTGTGATGTGTGTCTATGTATGTATTAACACGTTGTACTGAACGGGGTGAGAATAGCTTGAGCTACCTCATCCCTTTGTGTGTATTTTACCTCAATAAAGTTATTTCAATTTCAATCAGCGCGGTTCATATTTTCCCGCGCATTTCCCATCGGCAGTTGAGCATCGCGCGCCAAAACCCCAAACACACATTTCCAAATAAAAAAAACACAAAAATAACCCCTCCCAAAAAGCTAAAAAGACCCGCATTAAATCAACAAAAGAGAGATAGAGATGGAGATAAAGAGAGAGATATATAAAGGAGAAATAAGGATATAAGAGAGGTTGATGATGGTGGAGCGCGCGCGCGGGAGAACGCATGCGCCCCCGCCCCTCATCTTGGCGCCATCCCTCTCCACCTTCGGCTTGAAAATTTTTGATAAACAATAGGAGTTTTATTATAAAAATGACTGACAAGGAGGGCGCGAAGGGTAAGCATACCACAACCAAGCGAACCAGTAGGTGACAGAGAGGTTTTTGGTAGCGTTGGTACGTAGAGTAGACTGGTATATGAGGGTGAAATAACGGGAGGGAGTTTGGGGTGGGGGAGCGGCTGGCAGCCTCTTGTGGGGTGTGTTATGTTGTGGTCTTTGTTGTGGGGGGAAGCCTGGGGCTTCCCGGAGGCTTCCTTAGCCTCTCCCCCTGGCTCTGTGGCCTGTGTGTGTGTGGTGGGGAAGCTCTTGGTGTAGGGAGGAGGCTTCATGGTACACGGTTCACATCCCATGGCGAGAAGTTCTATACACCGGGAGGCTTCACGTCACACGGCAGAGGTTCTAGACACTGGGAGGCTTCACACCACACGGCAGAGGTTCTAGACACCGGGAGGCTTCACACCACATGGCAGAGGTTCTAGACACTGGGAGGCTTCACACCACACGGCAGAGGTTCTAGACACCGAGAGGCTTCACACCACACGGCAGAGGTTCTAGACACGGGAGGCTTCACACTACACGGCAGAGGTTCTACACACGGAGGCTTCACACTACACGGCAGAGGTTCTAGACACGGGAGGCTTCACACTACACGGCAGAGGTTCTAGACACGGGAGGCTTCACACTACACGGCAGAGGTTCTAGACACACGTTAAGCCTTCACACCATGGCAGAGGTTCTAGACACAGGGAGGCTTCACACTACACGGTAGAGGTTCTAGACACTGGGAGGCTTCACATCACAGGTTCCAGACACACCGCAGAGGGAGGTTCTAGACACGGGAGGCTTCACACTACACGGCAAGGCTTCCACACGTTAAGCACACCATGGCAGGCTTCCCACCACACCGGGAGGCTTCCCACAGGTTCCAGACACACCGCAGAGGGAGGTCCTGGAGCGTGGCAAGGCTTCCCACCACACCGGGAGGCTTCCCACCACACCGGGAGGCTTCCCACCACACAGACAGAGGTCCTGGATCATGGGGAGGCTTCCCACCAATACTGACCACGTTCTGCTAGTCACTGAAGCAAATGCAATTTTGTGGGTGTAGTTTATGGAGGGGTTTGTTCATTAACATTTTGCACACTGTTCATTTCATTCGTTTATTTCATTCTTATATTGAAATTAAAAAAAAAAAACATGGGTTACAAAGTCTTCCCAGTTTGGTGCCTTCTTTTGATAATTACTCGGTCTAACAATTTATAAATATATTGCACAGTATGCATCATGTGTTCAAGATGAATATATGTAAGGTTAGGGGTGTAGTTGATAAAACATGTGAGCTATCTGCTGTGCTGTATCTACTGTAAGAAAACAGTAGATACTGAAATAGCCAATAGCCAGTAAATACTGAAATAGCGAATGTCGGCTCTGGCCTAATTCTTGCATCCATATGTAGCCTAGTTGTATTGTATTTGTGTAAGTATTTTGTTTACATGATATAGTGTTCACACCTTTTATGTGAGGCCATTGGACATTGTATTATTTGAATACAAGCTCACAATGGTCATGCACTGTATTATTTGAGTTCAAGCTCACAATGGTCATGCACCGTATTATTTGAGTTCAAGCTCACAATGGTCATGCACCGTATTATTTGAGTACAAGCTCACAATGGTCATGCACTGTATTTGGCTCAAAAGTGGTGGCAAGCACTTGGGGGGTAAAGTTGCCGGTTCACTGGACAAAGTTAAACTCTGTCAGGATTATTACAAAATTGATGGTATGAATCAAAATAAGTTTTATAAAATGATGCTAGAATGGACTCTGGATTGTATGTAAAACACCAATGAAGATATTAAATAAAATATAACTCATTAAATTTGACGATAAAACTAAAATCTGATTTTTAAAAAACCATGAACTGACTCGTGGAAATATAAAATTTATTCAAACAAATTTATGCAAGCTTCCCTTAGTGTTTTGATGCCGTTTTTTTTATTTCCGTACAACTGACGAAATTCCTGCAATTGTTATGGTTTTGTTACATGTACTGATTCAGTTGGTTCAAGTTTTTTATGCACGAATATTTGGAGACTGGTGACGTGAACCTCCACATGGCTTGGAAACTATGTAGTATCGGTGACATCACTTGCAGTGTGCAAATATATTTGATTATCCACATTACTGGAACTTTTTGACCTCCTAACCTGGCAGCATTAACTATGCACAAAAAAAAAAAAAGGTGATTTATCATTAATTGGCAAAAGTTCAGTATATACTGTACTGTACCTGTATTTATTATTTTTCTTATTGATTGCTCATTAAATGTTAATTGCATTTCAGATTTTTATTTTAAGATTATTTTTGACATTTTTAATATTTTCCTTCATATACAGTATTAAATTTAATTTACTTCTGATAGCCTTAAAATCCTCCTCCTACCAATTTATATGGTGTGGGAGGGGGAATGACTAGATCTTCTAGTCATTTTCATTTGGTCATTGAATTGACTGTACCTTCCCTGCTTGGTGTGTTCTTTTGATAATTAGTTGCTTACTTGGTCACTGAATCACAAGACATTTATTATTAAACTATTAATTTTAAATTAGGGTAAATTTGCTTGCCATGAGCTACCTCCACAATACAAATTCTTCAGTGGCTGTATCATTGGATACAGCCACTGTATCCAATGATACTAAAACCCCCAAATAGGGTGTCCTTTCAAACTGTCCCCTTTGGAGTCATTATGGTGCTAAACAAGAGTGAATGTTCAAGCCAGCTTGGATTGATTGCCAGAAAATACATTACAGAAAATCCGGACTCCCTCAAAATACTTCAGTGATACCCTAAGGATTACCAATTGGCATTCTTGCAAACTTGCAGTTGGTTGGCTCTTGTTTACTACCACTAACCCTCACCATGTGGCAGCATCCTCTGAATATCTACTTCACAATCTGAATAATTGCTCAATTCTTGTGCTGGATTGAGCAAGTGAGGCCGGAACTCGGTGATTGTTCTCTGAGACGTGTTACTGTGCAGAGAGCTTGTTGTATTAGTGGACGTTTCTCGTGTGTGTTCCAATTTTGTCTAGAATTTTTAACCAAATGAGTTATCAGTTATTTTCTGTTCTAGTTTAGTTCATTCATTTACAGCAATAGACATTCTCCCCTTGAGCTATTTCCACTGCATTTGCATTTTCTCTTATTTGGTTCCTCATGCTCCACACACTTTTGCGTACACCCACTTGAATAAGGTTACTGGAATTTTGCAGGATGCGATTCTTCTTTCACCTCTTTTGGCTTGTTTCAGGACTGCTTTCTTACCCAACTCTAGGGATCAGTTACTGTTGCTATATACACCTAAGAGGCTCTCCATTGAGCTTTGCATGTGTTTTAGGGTAAATCTATGCTTCTATATTCAGCACAGCTGGACTAAGACAATATCCTAGAGGTTGTCTTGACAGTTCATTGCACTCGGCCAAGAGTCGTCTCTTTTTCTTGTTTCTTGTCACTCCTCCAATGTGTTCGTTTCCAGAACAACCTCTTGTGTGGAACTCTGTCGAAAGCCTTTTTCATGTCCATATAGATGCAATCAACCCAACCATCTCTTTCCTGTAAAATCTCAGTGGCTTGATCATAGAAACTGAGTAAATTCATTATGCAGGATCTTCCAGATCGAAAATCATACCCTGTTACTATATCGTTTTTCTTCAGGTGTTCTACCCATTTAGTTTTAATTATTTTTCCAATATTTTGACTATTACACTAGTCAATGATACAGGTCTATAATTGAGTGGGGTCTTCCCTGTTGCCACTTCTGTAGATTGGAATTATGTTAGCCTTTTTCCACACATCTGCTGGGTTATGGAGATGCTTTGGTCTGTTTTCTTAATTCTTGGTCAAGAATGCTTTTTTTTTTTCTTTTCTAAGTAAACCTTAGTTTGGCATGGGCTCTGCATGTCCATTTGCAGCAACACCATACAGTATTTTGAGCTTGGTCGAGTCTCTGTATCATTATCTATATATATTGTTTTTCCTCTTCAAGCATTCCTGTTCTAAGTTTTTTTATTCAGTGGCTGTGGATTTTTACAGTACATGTTTCTCTACTAGTCAGAATGGTAAACGCAGGTCGGCTGCAGGATTTCCATTGTGCCTAGCACCAGTGTGACTCGGCAGGGACAGTTTGAAAAGATTCGACAGCACATGTCGACGACGTTCTTGGTCCAGACAGTTCTTGCCTTAGGCAGCCTCACATTTCAAAATCCAACTCATAAAGTACCCTGTACTATACAGTAATTATAGATTTTGAATTGCTACCCATAAATATGATCTACAGATTACTGTATATACAAATTTAAGAGCATTATTAAGATTGTTGAATTGCTAATTTACTCGGTTTAATATAATTTCGGTAGAGAACGCAATTTTGCAGTATAAAACAAAGTGTGTGCTGTGTCTGTTAACTTCATTTTAGATTGACATCAAGTTTACTTGTGCACAAGAATAAGATACACTCGGTTATGAGAACACACACACGCATGTAGTACTAAACCACACACTAGGTGAAGGGACGACGACGTTTCGGTCCATCCTTTACCATTATCAAGTCAATTGTGACAATCGACTTGAGAATGGTCCAGGACGGACCGAAACGTGGTCGTCCCATCACCTTCTAGTGTGTGGTCTGGTCAACATACTTCAGCCACATTATTGTGACTCATTGCCTGCATGTAGTACTACCAAATTATATTGATACTGTTGGGATTTTAAGAAAAGCATGCTAAGAGTGATTGTGACACTTGAGTACCGTATAATGAATGTCGAGTGTAGAACTAACAATAACCATCCTAACCTAATTTCAGCTTAACACCTTTTCCATTGTTTTATCTTCAATAACGTGGCCATCCCAACCTGTACTCGGGGATTTGCATACTGTACCAGGAAGCCTAATGATCCATAGTGAGGTTATTCTTTTTAACCTTGTTAATTTAACCCAAAAGAAATGTTACCCATTGTTATTCCTCTGGTTCAGTTAATTGCAAGCTTTCTGCAGGTTTTGGTAATACAGTAAGAAGAATTTAATTGACATTTTCATATGCCTTACGAATCCATAGCCTGTTAATTTTTACAGGGTGTTTAATGATCCTAGAGAAGTACTGTATGTACTAAGTATATCACTTGCCTTTTCCAAAATTAGTGTTTACCGTATTTCATATTCAGAAGATCAAATGTTTGCAAAATGTGAAATATATTTGGATAAAGGAGCTTTGTAATAAATCATTACACATGCTTCTAAACTTCTTTTTATGCTTCATGACATTAACATACTGCAATGTGAAGACAGTACAAGGTTAATATAATTTTACATTATTATTATATAATAATATAATATGGTCTTCTTGCCAATTAATAATAATTGCAAGAGGACAACTCTTGCAATATGAGTGGTCTTCTGTAAACTGTCTTAGCTTTCATGTGCTGTAGTTGTGCTTAATTCTAGATCTTTGGAGTTTACACAAAGTTGGGGGGGGGGTACCTTAAGGTGGCTTCCGGTGCTTCCCGGGGGGGGGGGGTCAGTCTCGTTAGGTATGTTTAGTGTTGCATCACATGCTTCGTAGAAATTGCTTTAAATGTTTTGATATATTTAAGCAAAATGTTTACAGTTAACAAAATTAGGTTTAGCAAAGTGAATGCAGCTAATGCATCTGCTAATTGTTCTTTCCCTTGCAACAGAATTAGATTTTCTTTTACCTGAATGAGAGTGGTGGTTGCCATATAATTCACCACACTAAAGGTTTGTAGTTCATGCATAATTGTGCATTTTGCAAACCTTGGTGCAAAATCTCTTATAGTACAGTATCTAACAGCTGTCTTTTAATACTTATAATTTGAAGATTATTATTGATTGAATTTCATATGATGTTAATATTTTACCTGTGTTAGATTTTTATGCAAGCTTTCATTGGTATTTTTGGTTTCTGAAAAAAACATTAACCAAATCTTTCCCAACATTCATGCACCAAAAAAACGTGTTAACGTGATGTATTGATGAGAAAAACGGTAGGAGGCATGAGGATTCGAACCCATGCTCTGGGTACTCCTAGAGTACCCAGAGCAGTACTCTGGGTACTCCTAGAGTACCCAGTGTGTTTGTGCACATCATGAGTTTTCCCCATGGTGTGCAAAAAAAAATAATAATTTGCTTACGCCTTTTGACAAAAAGTATTGTGCAGCAGATTTGAGCTATGGTAGGGCAAGCAAACGCTCTTGAATCCACCAAGGTTTAGATTCGTAGATTAAACATCTTTTATATTTTTAAAATTTAACGAATGTTATTTAAAAATATTGATTCGTGTGTGTGTGTGGATTCCAGCTATCACTTGTATGACAGTTTTGGCTTTTATTTATATATATATATATATATAATTTAACTTCTGTATTGAGCTTTTTACCATTTTGGGTCAGTTTTGGCAAAGATGTACTGCCAAAACCCAAAATCCAAAGGTGTACTGCCTTGGCTGCCAAAACTTGTTATTGCAACTAGTCTTGAGTGTTGTGTGCATTAATATGATGCATGATAGGCATTACTATGACCCAAGCTCTGCATGCTTATATTTTGTGTGGGGGGTCGTCATAGGTCACGGTTATATTGGTGGGGGTCGAAATGAGGTGGCCTTGATTTATCTGTGCTTTGTGCTGCAGTTTTCTTAGGTTTTCTTTACTAATTCAAGACCTTGCTACTAATATTTTAATATTAAGAATGAAAAGAAACATTATCACTGGCTGAGGAAATGTTTGTATTTCTGCAGCATTGCTGGTTGACTAATGTGGCAATTTTATTTAAATAATTTTTATTTTGCAGTAAAGGACAATTTTACTGTATTCCTAAGAATGCTATTTTAAATAATTATAAATTAAGATTGTTATAATTAAAGAATTCATTAAATTTATTAAATTGAAATTGCATGATTTCCAATGTTTAATTTTATAATGAAACATATAAAGTATCGCCAAATAGTTTGGTGAAGCAAGGATTTTCATACAATTAAGAATTCTGCTTGAAACTTGGTTGTGGAATGCAGTCATTTTTATTATAGCAGTAGTTTTAGTAATTCACCTAAAATTAGGGGAAACTAAAGAGGATATTCTTTTGTTGTGTAGTAGGGGATGGCGGTGGCCCTGTGCGTGCGGCACCAGACCTCCCGACAACCGTGGCTGTGGCAGAGGTAACACCTGTGCAACGTCTGCAAGGTGGGCCACGGCGTCGTTTTCTTAGATAGGTGCCATTTTCGCCTTCTTATCTAAGTGGCACTGCTGTGCTTTCCTTTTCAAGTGACTCAAAGCTGCCCCCACTGTGGTCAAGGATTACACCTGGTCCAAGGCTGTTGTTGTTCACCAAGTTTGTCTCTTAGCCTGGTTTAATGCTCATTAGGAGGGTCCAGTGTAAAACTATTGGTTCAGTGTTTTATAGTTTTGTCATGTGTGGTAGTTTATATGGTGCATAATACTTTTCATTCTAAGCCATAGTGGGTGAATCAGGCACATTTGTAATGGAAAGGGCAACTGGTGAGCAAGTACAGTACTCTAAATTATATACAAGTTATCATACTATTTTGTAATTAAATTTTCATATAAAATGTCTGTGATGGTTGTAGCTATTAAACTTTGTGTCTTTTAGAAGCAGAATGAAAGTAAAGATTTCCTGGTGCCGTTACAGACACCTTCGACGATGCAGTGGAGGAGCGGGTCATTAACGAGGAGTACAAGATATGGAAGAAGAACACTCCTTTTTTGTACGACCTTGTCATGACTCATGCCTTGGAGTGGCCGTCGCTTACAGCACAGTGGCTCCCTGATGTTACAAGGTGAAATGTGAAATGGTTACCTCTGCAGGCCATGAGTCACAATAACGTGGCTGAAGTATGTTGACCAATGCACACACTACAAAATGAAGGGACGACTATGTTTCGGTCCGTCCTGGACTATTCTCAAGTCGCAGTCGACTTGAGAATGGTCCAGGACGGACCGAAACAAGTCGATTGCGACTTAAGAATGGTCCAGGACGGACCGAAACGTCGTCATCCCTTCATTTTCTAGTGTGGATTGGTCAACAGAGTTATCTCTGTGAAATAGACCACACACAACCTATAAAATATGTGGAATGGTATTTAAAGAACTCTAATAAAGAATGCTGTACCTCCGTGATTTTATCAAAGTGTATTGTAGCTGATGTTTATAACTTATGCTCTGGTTAAATGTACAGTACAGTACTGTATTTATGATAAGTTAAAATGCAAATTTACAACAATAGTTCAAAGTTTGCTGTGGTTTATTACCCAAGAGAAACAATGTATACAGCGGAAAGATTTATAGTGATTAAACATATTTACTTGGAAATGTGTTAGGAATTACACCGTAGTTAAAAACTGTATTTTAGAGTAACGAGTTGAAATAGTCCATGAAAATGTCATGGAGAAATATATGAAGTGCAAAAGCCAGTGAACCCAGGAGTGAAGAGAGAGCATGGAGATGGTTTGTGCATTTTGCATGAACGGATGATTAATCAGGAGTTCATATTCAAATTAGTTTGTGTGTAGGAGGGAGGTCAGGATGAAGATGGGCAGACATTGAGAGTGTGAAGAGGTAGTAATTGGATATGAATAAATTGTAGGTTATGCATAGGGAGCCGAGCCGAGTGGACAGCACGCTGAACTTGTGATCCTGTGGTCCTGGGTTCGTTCCCAGGCGCCGACGAGAAACAATGGGCAGAGTTTCTTTCACCTTATGCCCGTTGCCCTATTTTGCCTGGCAAAATATTGCCGGAACAACCGTGGATATCTTCAAGAGGAAACTAGATATATTCCTCCAAGGAGTGCCGGACCAACCGGGCTGTGGTGGGTATGTGGGCCTGCGGGCCGCTCCAAGCAACAGCCTAGTGGACCAAACTCTCACAAGTCAAGCCTGGCCTCGGGCCGGGCTTGGGGAGTAGAAGAACTCCCAGAACCCCATCAACCAGGTTACCTAGCAGTAAAATAGGTACCTGGGTGTTAGTCAGCTGTCACAGGCTGCTTCCTGGGGGTGGAGGCCTGGTCGAGGACCGGGCCGCGGGGACAGTAAAAAGCCCCGAAATCATCTCGAGATAATCTCAAGATATGGCAAGGGACGATGCTGAATGGAAGGTGTTTGAAAGTGAATCCGCTCTGCAGTATTGAAAGCAATCCACTCTGCACTGCACATGTGTGACAATTCTTGAGGAGCATCATATGCCAAGTTATAAGGAGTGGTGGAATACCATCCATTCCTCTCCAGTTGTTACAACATGGCAAAAGTGAACTAAAATGCCTAATTTAACTGAGGACCCCATATGGATAGAAAAGGGGAGTCCGTCAATTTTTGAGAGCCGCTATGATTTGTAGTAACCCTAAATTTTTGCCGTTGGAAATTGATAGGTCAAAATGTCATGCAATATTAGAGAAGACAGATTGGGAATACTTCCGTCGATGACTGCTGGTGGTGATTCTTATTTATTTTATTATTTATTATACAAATTAATAATATAATGAAAAATTTTGTTGGATTTTTTTTTTACTTTTGTGCATAGGAAGGTATGATCATTTCTCCATAGTTGCTGTTTAAGGGTTAACATTGATATTCTTGGTAATGTTCATTTACAAATAAAATTCCCTGACTTTGGGAGCCGGTCAGCCGAGCGGACAGCACGCTGGACTCGTGATCCTGTGGTCCTGGGTTCGATCCCAGGCGCCGGCGAGAAACAATGGGCAGAGTTTCTTTCACCCTATGCCCCGGTTACCTAGCAGTAAAATAGGTACCTGGGTGTTAGTCAGCTGTCATGGGCTGCTTCCTGGGGGTGGAGGCCTGGTCGAGGACCGGGCCGCGGGGACACTAAAAAGCCCCGAAATCATTTCAAGATAACCTATTTTATATTCCTTGGCTTTCTGTATGAGCAACTAACACTTCCTCCTATTATATTGCATCTTGCTTAGTCAATTAATATTTCTTTGGCTATTCATATTACATGACAATTTGTTGTAATTTGCAGGCCAGAAGGAAAGGACTACAGCATTCATCGGCTGATCCTTGGAACGCACACTAGCGACGAACAGAACCACCTACTCATTGCCTCGGTTCAGCTTCCAAATGAAGATGCTCAATTTGATGCATCACATTATGATAATGAAAAAGGAGGTATGTAATACACAGAAATTACAATAGCGTGATGCATCAAATGAACAAATCCACAAGGGCCGTGATGAGGGTTCGAAGCTACGTCACGGGCGTCCTGGGCGTAAGTTCGAACCCTCATCAAAGCCCTTGTGGATTTATTCGAGGTATTTAATCCTCCTCCTTCCATCTCATTTTATTAAGACAGCCTCATTTGACTTCACTCCAGCCAAGCTGGAGAGGCAAGCTGGGGGTAATTGAAAAGATGTGGTGGCAGGCGAGTGAGGGCTTGATCGACAGGAAACAGATTTGTAATTGGAAAGTAATAATGGGGGAATGTAGCAAGCAAATTCATCCATCAAGGTTCAGTCCCGAGTCTGTTGCCGTTTTCAAAACGTACTCTATGTGAATGACCTGTCTGTGTCGGTGAGACTTATACATATCAGTACTGTATAATATGGCTTGTACATATCAGTATAATATGACTTGTACATATCAATATAAATCCAACAAGTAATTTACAAAGAATATTGATCATATTCACAAGCTGGGCAATTCTATTTTTGAGCTGTAAAAGTTTGTTGATGTAATCTCTGGATGGTCCCCTGATAAGCAATTCATGCACTGTGCTAAGAAAAAAATGATAAAAATGGTCTTCGATAATTTCGAGATGCATTGTGTATTTTAGCATCATCACAACGTTTACTGTCCGAGTATGGATGATGCCTTTTAGTGTCGTCCGTATGGTAAAGTGTTATAATTAAATTTGTGATTATCTATTAATATAAGGTCTGGTACTACTTTCAGAATTTGGAGGTTTTGGCTCTGTCAGTGGAAAGATTGAAATAGAGATAAAAATTAACCACGAAGGAGAAGTAAATAGAGCTCGATATATGCCTCAAAATCCGTGTGTGATTGCTACGAAGACCCCATCCAGCGATGTCCTTGTCTTTGACTATACTAAGCACCCTTCCAAACCCGATCCATCAGGAGAGTGTCATCCAGATCTTAGGTGAGCAGTGATGTACAGTTCACAATAACGCAGGAATTACTGTAGTTATTCTGAGTTACTGTGTTCTGAATTAGTAGGATATTATTAGTGTAGGAAAAGTATAAGATTATCTAAGGACATATGGTATTAGAGTAGTTAATTTTAAACGATAAATTCTTATATAGGGACTGCATTTTGGTAGTGGCCAAATCCAGCATGGGTGGAAATGATGAACTTGAATGAAATACAGGGTATAAGACACAATCAGATCAACTCATAAAAGGGAGACATGTTAAAGACCTGGGAAATATATCTGATAACCTGACATTTACCGAATATATCCAAGCAAATATAGTGTCAGCCAAGAAAATGATACTATAATTTTCCTGCTATTATCACTGCTGTTGTTGACAGATTATCAGAGGAAACTAGTGCAAGTTTGATTTCTTCAGGGGCTGAACGGTAGTTTCCATTACGGGTTCACCATAGCCTGTGCTACTTTGAACTTTTTGTTCAGACTTGCTGAATTTAAAACAAATACAAATGATAATTTCCATATTTTTATTCTTCACAGGCTACGTGGTCACCAGAAAGAAGGTTATGGATTGTCATGGAATCCCAACTTGAATGGCTACCTCCTTAGTGCATCTGATGACCACACTATTTGCTTGTGGGATATAAATGCTACACCGAAAGAGAACAGAGTTATTGATGCAAAGACCATTTTCACAGGCCACACAGCAGTTGTTGAGGTTAGTGGACCACTTGTCATGATCAATTTGGTAAATATGACACACATTCCTTACTGTGTGTGCTTGTCCATTTACATCCACAGAATGAATTACTTTTTTCTGTTGCTCGTGCCATTTGCTGTAGCCAAGCGGGTACAGTGTAAAGTATAGTAACACTGCAATTGTAAACACTAAAAAAAACTCAATGTGCTGCTGCATAAACTACCTAAAAATGCCCTGTTCTGATTATCAGCTAGTAACTAGCTCATCAAGCTATGTTCTTGATAAGCTAGTTACAAAATTTTATGCATATTATATCAACAATGAATGGATTAAAAGCCAAACAAATACCATCTCCAAACTAAACAACTTAAACATGTGGTGAGCTAGTTTCATAATAATATGCTTATCCTGCACACTGCCCCCATCAAGCGATCAGCCGTGGAACCGTTATAATCACTCATTTACTACCTACAATTAGCAAACTGGGGATATTTGGTCAATAATAGTATTATAACTTTGTTAATATACACGTGTACAGATATATGCATATAAATGTATGTACGCCCTGTGTTTATTGATGCCAATATTTGCGCCTAAATCTTTCATTTGCACATAACACAGAACGCCAGGTAGATATGCAGGCGATGAGTCACAATAACGTGGCTAAAGTATGTTGACCAGACCACACACTAGAAGGTGAAGGGACGACGACTTTTCGGTCCGTCCTGGACCATTCTAAAGTAGATTGTGTCGATTCACCGGGTAGATATGGCGCATCATACACAAACACTAACTGGCGTACTTGCACTTGCTTGCACTACGAATACTTATGCTCACCATACTACAAATAGCATAAAAATCCCCTCACCCACCATAAACAAGATGATCATAGACATATTTTCATCAGAATCACATTTTGTAATGCCAAATGTGCTAGATCTGGCAACTTTGAAAATAAGTGTTTTCAGCATGCCACAGCTTGGTGTCAAGGTCATCATTGCCCCCACACCCTCGCTTCCTCAATCTGACTTTTTATTAGAATTGAAGATTGTTTCATCTACTGATGGATATTATTCAGAATTTTGCAATTGATAAAACCCACACTAGCATTATTTCCATATATTATATTGTGGCACAACATTTGTCCCACTTGACAAAACTGTACATTTTCTCTACCACAATCAATATATATAATATATATTTATATATACAGATAGCTTGCACAGTGATCAGAACACACAATTGTACAAGGGGCTGGCTGGCTGAGTGGACAGCGCTCTAGACTCGTGGACCTAGGGACCAGGGTTCGATCCCAGCAGCCGGTGGAAAAACAAATGGGCAGAGTTTCCTTCACCCCTGATGCCCCTGTTACCTAGCAGTAAATAAGTACCTGGGAGTTAGACAGCTGCTGTGGGCTGCTTTCTGGAGGTGTGTGTGTGTGTGTGTGGAAAATAAAAAATTAGTAGTTAGTAACAGTTAATTGACAGTTGAGAGGCGGGCCAAAAGAGCAGAGCTCAACCCCCACAAGCACAACTAGGTGAATACACTCGATCTTCACTAGCACTACAAATCAATACAAATCAGATAGTGTTGTATTCCAATTGACAACAAGTGTGTACACGTCATGAGTGCAGCATCATATCGGTCGCCACACGTAACACTCTCTCATTAGTCTTGCTTCCCTTGCTGTTAGAGCAGCTTATTTTATGTTATTGTTGGGATGATACTCGAGGTGACTCCTTGCAAATATTCCTCATCACTAAGATTTCCAGGTCCTTCAAGAGTCTTATAATTTTCCATGACATTAGTGGATTTTAGCATGGGCACCTTATACAGTATATTCATTTGCTGGATGGTGATACACTGAAATAGTTTTTTATTTCCTAACTGAGGCACTCGGGATCTTTTCCAAAATATGGCAAATGATTGACAAAGATATCGAGTGTTTAATGTCATCCCCCTTGAATCGGTGGGACTTGAATATAATAGCACACCTTGAATCATCTCCAGGCAGTTGGCATAGAGTGGCCAGTCATGGCTTTGAAGGCTTTAAAGAAAGAAAACTTAAGTAAAGGATAAAACAGCAATGAGAGGCTGTCTTCTGTAGGTGTATAATTTGCTTTAAGCTTCTCTTTGATTACTTTCATTATTTGCTAAGCAACGTTGATTTTTGACTAATGTAAATTATCTTTTTCCAGGATGTTGCGTGGCATCTCCTTCATGAATCGCTGTTTGGTTCGGTGGCGGACGACCAGAAGCTAATGATCTGGGATACTCGCGCCAACAACACAAATAAACCTTCTCACACCGTTGATGCTCACACCGCTGAAGTCAATTGTCTCTCCTTTAATCCCTATTCAGAATTTATTCTAGCTACTGGCAGTGCTGACAAGGTAATCGATTTGCATTGAACATTAGTTCATTGTATCATATACTTTACACAGTCATGTTGATTTGCTCATAGACTTGGATCATTGGTGCTGTTAATATGTTTAAAAAAAAAAATTTACAAGTTAACACTTTCGCTCACCCCGCGCGCCACCCCTCGACAGGGCGATATGGGCCCCAGCGTGTCACGGAAGCGCGCGTTAATTCCGAAAAGTGTATACTCTCTTCAACTTTGTCACCTCAATTCTCCTTCTACGAGAATAAATTTGGTATCATTGTGTTCGCAATAAAATTCTCTACAGCACTAAATGCATATAAACTCCAAAAGCCCGGCTAATTACCCGCAGCAAACAGAGAAAGTGCGAACGAGTTACCCGGGAGCGCGCAAACGGGATAAAATGTTTTCACTATTTTCACTCTGGTCACCTCAATTTTTGTCCTAGGTCTTTCATTTTGGTCTCAATGGGTTCGTAATAAAATTCTCTAGAGGAACATTAGCAAATAAAAAAAAACACCTGGTCACGCTCCAACCGCCGACGAGTTGAAGACGGGCCACGCGTTAGCCGTGAGTGAGCGCTCAGAGGCCTTCCTACTACACTCCCAATTCCCACCCTTTTCAAGCCTTTCTTTCGCAATTTTCTTCCTGGAAGGGCCTTGTTCATGATTACTATCCATCGTGGAGTAAGCGTAGATAGTTTCTAAAGCCGCAGTAAGAAATATAGCCACGGAAAATAGCCGAAATGTTCACACGTTTGAGATGCGAGGGGAGACGACATTGGTCACAACAGTGGAGCAAAGACAATGGGCCCACGGCGTGTGCCAAGCCGCCTGAGGGCCACGAGGCTCAACAAAGGAAATGGGAAGACATCGGCGCACATTTTAAAACCAGTCCCCAAAAAATCGGATACAAACCTGATTTTTGGCGAATTTTTAAAGTGGATGACGCAATGCTGCGTCATCCCCGAGCGAAAGTGTTAAATGTAAAAAAAATATTGATTTCAATCTAGGAACACAATTTGTCGTTTATTTGCAAGTATTGTTGTGGGGTGTATCATACTAGGAATTGTATGATACACCCCAATTGGAATAACAACTACTGGCTGGACTGTTTATATCCAGTTTTTGTGAAGTCCTTTTTTACTGGTTTCGTGGCTCATTTCTGGGCTAGAGTTCTCTTCATGAGCTTCAGCAGGACTGTGAAGTATTTGCAGCTATTGAAGTTATTCTGTCTGTACCTTGGGTGGTATAGCCACTTCTGGTTTCTTCAATATTTATTCACTTTTCTGTGTTTGCTGCTGTTGGCATACATTGAACATTAGGCTCCCTAATGGCGTGTGTAATGTGTGTGTGATATTTGCAAAGCGGTTAGCAGGCACTGCTTGTGATGTTTCTCTGATATAACACTGATCTTCATTCCCTGTCTCCACTGTTGATTACACAAGGTTCACTTAATACACTGGTGCCCCATTGGCAGTGTTCTTTAATTTTTTTTCTCACACGTGCATTATCTTCACATTTTTACTTTTGGAGCACCTTACCTTGGGTTTATATTTGCCCGTACACTAAATCCTGTGTACACTATCTTGAGCCTGGCTCATTGACTGCTGGAAGAATCCAGTGTTTACAATAGTTGTCAATGCTGGAATTAAATGGTTTACTCTATGAAGCAACTGGTATAGCATATGCCAGATTAAAGGGTGGGAGAATTGTGGCACAGAGATCATAATTGTCAGACTTGAACTGCATTTTTGTCTCGTGAATAACCACAAGCTTGATCATTCTCGCAAAACAGTGCAGTGTTTTGCTGCTGTTAATGCTTAAACTAATTTGAAGATGTGTGGGTTGAACAGGGTAAAAGGTCTGTTTTTTTTACCATCTGACTTGAATATTTTGTTTGGTAGGTATTGCAGGTGTAAGATATTGTTTACATGTGCTATAGACTTATGAACTCTTGTCTGTGATGCTATAGACGAACGAACTTTTTGTCTGTGATGTTATAGACGATGAACTGAACTCTTGTTTGTGATGCAATAGACAATGAACTCGTATGTCTATGATATTGGATATGCATATTTGTCTCTTCACATTCAGTGTCTGCATGATTTGATAGTTTATATTTATATAATGGCTAAATGTTCAGTCAGTAGCGTTTATACTCCCCATTCACTTATCCCAGACTGTTTTGTTTTGGTTAGAATGACGCACACTATGTATTCATTGCAATTTGTGTTGAGCATATTATTTTAATACTCATTATTACTGTGTGTTTATATTTTCATTATTACAGTATTTATTATTATTATTCAGTGATATATAAATGAAAACATTTGAGATTACAGTAGTTCAGTGTGCAATTTATTTTTGAGTTTTAACTAGAATGTCCACTGTTTATGTTAGCATTTAATATGTTGATTTTGTTGTAAGTTGCCTTCTTGATGCATGACTTAGAAATGATTTTCATATTTGCTTCTTCTGAAAATAGCAACTTATTTTCTGTACTGTGCCAGATGTTTAATTTTGTATTTTCCGGCCATGATCTGACTGAAGTTTGTGCAATTTGCCGACTTAGTATTTCACTAAATTGATTTGCGATTATTGAATATATTAGAATTTTAACCAATTGATTAAATGTCAAAATACTGTACAGAATTTCTTAAACAAAGTTTGTGATTTATAAAGTAAATTTTGGTCAGGCATAAGAAATTCAAAATTTATAAAAAAAAAATTGCAAATAAGTTCTTGTGCAACCTTTACCAAATTGCTTACCAGATTGTGGTGGAAAATTTATAAAAGTTTGTTTTGGCATTTTTTCAAAGTTTTGTATAGTAGAATTTGATTAGTAAGTTTGAAGTAGCTATTTTCTTAACTTTTGGTAATAGTAAGAGAATTTAAGAAGTTACACACAGAAATCACAATTGCGTGATGCATCAAATGAACTAATCCACAAGGGCCGTGACGAAGATTCGACCCTGCGTCCGAGAGCATCCCAGACGCTGCCTGGGATGCTCGCGGACGCAGGTTCGAATCCTCGTCACGGCCCTTGCGGATTTGTTCATTTAATTTAAGAAGTGCTTGTTTGAGATCGGTACTTTTGTTGTTCGTTACTATTTTTACTAAATTTTGAGGTGGATGCAAGAGTTTAGTTGTGCATAATGGCATTGATGCTTAGAGTAAACATTGATTTGAAACTGAAGCTTTACATAATAAAGGATGAAGCTAGACTATTAGCCTTAATTAGCAGGAGAGCCAAAGGTTTGTTAATTTCCAATCCTGTAAAGAATTAGTCAAGTAGTTTGCAGGTTTTGTCTTCTCAATCCAAAATAAATCCTGCCTGAAAACTGACATGAAGTAAACAGTTTTAGGTGTTCGTGCTGTTGGCTTGTTTATAGAAGCTGAAAATAGTGATGAGTTTAGGAGTATTTGTCTTACAAAGTCTTAAATTCAAAGTGATAGGCAGTGCATAGTTGTTTTATTGTGGCTCTTTCTTAATTCAGTCATGGAAACTAAGCTCAAGGCATATACTTTATTTTTTGCCAAAATGAAGATTTTTTTCATATATATATATAAATTTAAAAATTTGCAGCAGGTACCTTTATTCTGTAGGATATTTAAACTAATGTTTTGCGAGACCGTCTATTAATTTCGACTCTTGATTATGCTTTACCCCCCCCCCCTGTTAAATAATGACACCTTCAGTATTTTAACATTAGGGTCATTAATATAGATTAGTATATTTTGCTCACATGGTGGTAGTATACTCCAAGTACGTATTGGTGATAGTCAGTCTCCATGTCGACATTATCGTTGTGATTTTCGTTTCTTGAGGATTTAGAAAAAATGTGCGTGTGAACAGTTCAACATCCAGCTTCCCTTACAGACGGTCGCTCTGTGGGATTTACGTAATCTGAGCTTGAAGCTTCACTCGTTTGCCATGCACAAGGACGAAATCTTCCAGGTAAGTAGTGCTTGCATGCTCCATGTGTGTGGTGAGTGCATGTGTCCTCAGTTATAATTTTCCACCCACCTTGCAGACAGTTGCCTTGTGGGACCTGCGCAATCTCAAGCTGAAACTCCACTCATTTGAGTCGCACAAAGATGAGGTTTTCCAGGTGAGCTTGACCGAGTTGGAGCAGCTGTGGGTAATTATTGTTAGGACTTGAGGAGAGGGCAAGGACGGTACTGATGTGTTTGGCATCGGTTTACACTGTAGAGCTGCCAGTTTTTTTATTAATTTAGTTAATAGGTAGATTTGTATTATAGTTATTAATTACCCTGTTTTTTCAATTTCATTGGGTGGGGGAGGCATTGACTTAGAAAAGGTAAATAGTGCCGTACTGTGTATTGTGCAACCTTGATTCGGTGAACTATATGTAGACGAGGCCTGATTTATTGCAACCATAGAGGCCTTCAAGAGGCATTTGTGATGCATTTTTTCCTCAACAAAAATACTTTGCTATGTTTTCTTCTGAATGCATCTTCAAATAATTGTTAAAATACGATCAGTCATATTAGAGGAGTTACCTTTCATACTATAACTTTCCCATGTTCTATAGCCAAATTTCATTTAGGTTGAAATTAAAATTTCCATATCATATAATGGACAACAACGAGGAGAACCTGTGTGTAAAATGATATCACCGTAGCAAGCCTATTTTTTGACAGTAGCAGAGCCCTTACCTTGGTGAACATAAACCACACTAACTCAAAATTAAAATGAACCACATAATTAAATTTGTAATTATATATATGTTCAATGACATTTCCAAAGGCTCGGACTGTTTCTGCTAGTGTTGTCCATCTATGAAAATCGTTAAAGTTACGATCAAAGCCATATTAACCTTTGAAATGTTAATGCCCCCCTGCAGAGATGCTTGACCAATGGTCTAACTATCTTTTTCTACCTTTTTGCTAGTTATGGGGATCAGTGGCCCGATGGCCTGGTCTCTGACCAGGCCGCCTGGTTGGTGGCCTGGTCAACCAGGCTGTTGGATGCAGCTGCTTACAGTCTGATGTACGAATCGGCCCATAAGGTGTTTTATCAGGTTCTTGTGAACATTGTGAGAGGCTGTATTCCTTGTGCAGTGTATGGGCTAAAGTTATTATTCATGCCCTAATATTTTCCATGCGCACTGGATGAATTTCAATGAGTGAAAATTTTAATTTTGGCCTGTCTTACGATGGACAACATCCAGGAGAATCTTCAAGTTGAGAAATTTGATGCTGCTGATATTTCTCGGGATCCAGCCCCTTGAATCTTATTTTTTTAAAGGTAGGAGCATGACCCCAAAATGGTGTTCACTCAGGATTGTGAACCCTGGACCCTTATCAAATCTGCACATCTCCCACTTTGTCAAACACTTGTTCAGCAAAGCAGGTGTGAAAATCTAATCCTTCAAAGTGAGTGTTGCAATCAGGGGATGAGCCGAATCGTGGTTGTAATGGGGTGAAAGAAAGTTAGATACTAAACACTGTAGAGGAGGGTGGGTAATGAAGCACGGCCAGAGTCCAGCAGCCCTCTACGTCGGCACCCCGCTGCTTTATAAGACCAGGTGTACCACCTTCCTGGTGAATTGTCATTATACAATGCTGGTTCTTTACAAACAGATAACTCAGTTTTGCTTGCAGAAAGTTCAATTATTCATAAGTTTTATTTTGAATCCCAAACTAGGTCTCGGATATCTTGACAAGAATGGTGTGTACTAAACGTGTTTTGATGTTATCTGATTTTTGTATGTTCTCTTACATAGTGGCATTCAGTTATTCAGCATTAAAATGAAAGATTTATATAGATTGTCATAAGCCTGTACTATGTAAGGATGTGACATCCAGTTGTTTTCGTAGGTTTTTGCTTTGGCTGTTGAATATCATTGCCATACTGTGTGTGCTTCATATACTGGTTACTTACTTTTGAAATAAAGTTTCTTAAACCTTTAAGCTATATTTGGTTTAATAAAGTACAGTTGCAATACTGGTACTTTTTTTTTAAATTGAATAGTTAGACGACTAAGATTGTGAAGCAGTCTTAACAGCTTTTTGACCTCTTCTGGTGGCACAGGTTCAGTGGTCACCTCATAACGAGACAATCCTGGCAAGTTCGGGCACCGACCGTCGCCTGCATGTGTGGGACCTCAGCAAGATTGGTGAAGAGCAGAGTGCTGAGGACGCTGAAGATGGTCCCCCTGAACTTCTGGTAATTTTGTTTGTTTTGTTTTTGTTATGGGTAATGAACCACTTTTCTAAAAGAGGTTTAATTACAATTGTCTGATTCCTTGTTTGCTCTTGGAATCAAAGCCTCCAGCTAAACAGGATCTGGCCCTGTTCTCTAACCCTTATAATTAAGGCCAGCTGTACATTAATTCTTTAGTTATTTCCATTAGTAAATTGTGCACTAATCGCACTAGCACCTGCACCTCGTTCCTGCATGTTTTGTGTTCTCGCCGTAAGTCATTCTTCGATACCCCATCTCTTCTAGCTCGCATGTTCCATACACATCTTGTACTTGTTGTGCTGCCCCTACCTACCTTTTTCAGCTCTTATTGTTTCTACTGCTTGAATAATTGATGTCATTCCATGTTTCACTCTGAAGGTGAAGGTTGGAAGAGGTCCATAAATGCTGTCTGTTATCCACATCCATATTATTGCTACCTAATGTAATTTTTCCTAGTAATGACTTTCCCTTGTTTTCCTCCGTATAATATTATGTGCTTCCACAGTACTTGTCCTAAATACTTAATTCCTTGACCTCTTCCAATACTTTAATATGCATTTCTGATTTTCATTCCATCATATCTTGTCTGATTACTCTGTAAGGTTTACATAACAATAAAAACCAGTTACTATCTGCAGCTTCAACCATGCTGAATAGGATGTGTGTTCTATGGAGGAACTGTGAGAGGCAAAGTTTGTATTATATATAAGCAAGTAATGCTTGCATGGAAACGGTTTAGGTGTCAGAAGTAGTGACTTTGTTCTCTACCAATCCTTTGCATGTTACCTTGAGGTGGTTTCGGGGCTTAGCGTCCCCGCGGCATGTTCCTCGACCAAGCCTCTTCGAGGCCTTCCTCGATGTTCTCCCCCATTGTCCAAAAAATGAATTGCAATATATTTGAAGAACAGAATATTGGAAAAAAAGAATAATTGCCCATATCTATGCACCTTCTTGAATTCAATACAAGTAACGTATTAAGAATGTTCATTAAATACATAACAGATTTATAATTACCCTCTTAAAGTTGTATATATTACTTAAGTTCTGCCTCACAGAGTACAGCAAGAGGATATTATTTAGTGAATGATGCAGCCTACAGTAGATAATATTATTTCTCTACTGTAGTCTGCATCATTACTTCTACAGCATTCATTTTTAAGTCTCAAAATCATTCCAGGCAACTCTTACAATTAAATAATAAAATATTAAAATAATGTATGTTAATAAAATAGAGGTCTGGATACATTGTCTCTAAAATAGGTTTTATTTTGTTATAAATTTTTTTTATCAATGTTATATTTAATAATTTTATCCGTTTCGTTTTTCAGTTCATTCATGGAGGCCATACTGCTAAGATCTCCGATTTCTCCTGGAACCCTAATGAGCCTTGGGTGATCTGCTCGGTCAGTGAAGATAACATCATGCAGGTGTGTACATTTAGTAGATCATAGGTTGTGTGTGTTTTTATTTGTGTTATTGTGGCAGGCTGAGTATGTTGAGCCAGGCAGTCCAGTGGTGTTGAGTTGAAGCATTTTATATTGTTAGGTTATGGGAGTAGGAAGGAATGTTATTAGGAAGTATGGGAGCCGGTCGGCCGAGCGGACAGCACACTGGACTTGTGATCCTGTGGACCCGGGTTCAATCCCGGGCGCTGGCGAGACACAATGGGCAGAGTTTTTTTCACCCTATGCCCCTGTTACCTAGCAGTAAAATAGGTACCTGGGTGTTAGTCAGCTGTCACGGGCTGCTTCCTGGGGGTGGAGGCCTGGTCGAGGACCAGACCGCGGGGACACTAAAAACCCCGAAATCATCTCAAGATAACCTAAGATATAACCTCAGGTTTGAGTAATTTAATACTGTGTATAAATATACTGGAGATAATTGGCATGCAGTCTTTCACGTTTCTTTTATTATATTATATAATAATGCAGTTGTTTCATTTCTTATTGTTGGTATTGATGGCTTGCATTGCCATCTAATTGGCATTAAACCAAATGCTTATCTGTCTCTGGTTTTGTTGCATACACATGAATCACTGTAGGTAAAGCTATATGTATTGGTGTCCCAGTGTTTTGGGGCTTTCTCCTCATTGTTCCCTTCCCTACATCTTATCTCACTGTTACGAGACAAGACTAAGCCTCGCGAAAAATATGAACAAGACAATGAAAGAAATATACACGGAGAAGAGTTTGAGGTGCACATGCTTATCTTGAGGTTATCTTGAGATGATTTCGGGGCTTTAGTGTCCCCGTGGCCCGGTCCTCGACCAGGCCTCCACCCCCAGGAAGCAGCCCGTGACAGCTGACTAACACCCAGGTACCTATTTACTGCTAGGTAACAGGGGCATAGGGTGAAAGAAACTCTGCCCATTGTTTCTCGCCGGTGCCCGGGATCACAGGATCACAAGTCCAGAGTGCTGTCCGCTCGGCTGACCGGCTTCCTTGTGTATATGCATGCAGTTGTTATATCCAGTGGGCATGTGTAATGTACACTGATTTTTTATATTTTTTTTTTTTATTGCAGGTTTGGCAGATGGCAGAAAATATCTACAATGATGAGGAACCAGAGACCCCAGCTTCAGAACTTGAATCAGGTGCATCTTAAATTTTGTACGGCGCCTTTCAGGCATTGTCATGGTCAGATTTGGCAATATTCATAAAATGAAGTGAGCATTATATGGTTTGCACTGTAACACTTACAGGAAGCGCTCTTATTATTCAAAAAGGGAAATAATATATATAATGAACATTATATACATCAAATTACATAAGTAATTTGTTAATTTTTGTGGATGTTTGGTTATTGCTATAAAGACATTCCATATAATGCACAAAACTTCATTCAGATTTATACCAATTGTTGCAAGAGTTTCATTAGAATTAATATCATTTTTGTAATAAAACATGTATGTTAAAGCTTATTTATTGACCTAGAGTACAGTTCTTGATTAGTTATATTTACAGTGAACGTAACGCAGAACACGTTACATTTTGAGTTATTGGTTTATGACCCGTGAGAACGGTGTCGGGTAGAAGATAGGTCGTGTAGTGGTGTGTCCAGTTTTGTGTTAACGGTGTTGTTCTGCTGAACCGGAAATTATTTGGTATCTCAATGTTACGTGATTGGCCAAATTTATCTTACAGCCACTATCCTTAGTGGCTGTTGACAAGCCAGCACCTTGTCAACAAATTTCTCAATCTTGAAGATTTTTTCCAGCTGGGGTTTGAAATGAAGTACAGTAATATTATCTTGGAATTTATACCAGCATTATCCTCACTTCATTAAGACTTAATTGAAATCCTCAGATTAGACAAAATTGTAATTAATTTTCAGTAAAGATGTTAATAATAGAGGCATTTGCAGCTTTGTTAGGCTGCCAATTCCATGGTTTTATAATTCCATTGGTGAAAAAAAACTAATTTTGTCCTAAAATAATCTGAGACACGAGCTGAATAATCCAGCCCCTTACTGTGCCTGGTCTTGTTTCCTAAACATTATGCATCAATTATTATCCTGTTCCACATAAATGGAGTAGAGAATTTGTAACCTATAGAAAAAATAAAAATGTCATTCATACATTCATTATATCATTTGTATAACATTGCATTAGGGATAAACAAGTCAAAATTATTCTAGTAGTCAACCACAGCCTCATCCCATCATTGAATAAGAATAATGTAAAATAAATACAAATTAATTTACTTCTTACAAAATGAACAACCGAACCTTCTTTTGGCCTATCCTGTGCATAGTTCAGTCAATCCTCACTTCCACACACACTTGCTAGGTCTTCCTAGACTTTCTCTTCTACTTTTAAATTGACTTTAATTTGCATTACTCTTAAGTACTATCGTTCATTCCTTCAACGTGCAGAAACCATTTCAGAACTCCTCAGTATTTCCACGTCATAAACTTTTGCACTACACATCTCGCCTTTTCATTTCTTAATATACTTTCCTAATACAGTACTGTGCTGCACATATGTTCCTATACTGTACACCACATGCCTGTTCCTATACTCCTATATGCAAATTCTTCTGAATACAATTTTTAAATGTTATACCAACATGAATTTTTTTTTTTTAATATGAAGTAACCTGGGAATTGTTAAATTAATAGAAAAATAATGATTAAATAAAAAATGGCTAAACATTTTCCAACATTTATTTACTACACAACATTTGTACATTTGTAAACATTCACCGTCGTCATATTTTGAAGAAAAACATTAAAGTATTCTTCAAATGTTATTGGAAAGAGTGTTGGTTTTTCATCATATCCAGAGTACTGTAACTTCCTCCATTTCCTATAGCCTCTTGCCTGCTTTTATCTTTTAAACTTTAAAATTGCACATTGTGTAGCACTTGATAATTTTTTGGTACTCGATATTGATCCATTTAAGAATACTGACAAACGCACATCTTTGCATCCAGCTCCAATTCTGTGAACATCGCAACCCATTTGGTAATTTCTTTTACCAGTATTCCACACACAAAGGAATCCTCGGAACTAAAGTGGGTTAAATAACATCGTTTGCTAACTTCCTGTATGCTGCTGCCTGTTCACATGAGCTTCTGGTGTTAAGTGTATGTCTACTCCCAGATCTTTCTCATTATTTCTTGTAATTGGTATAGTTGTAATTTCTCTATATGGTATAGTTAAATACAGGTCTCCAATCTTCCTTACCCATTTTGATTACTTTACACTTTGTAAATATATGATTGTAAATTTTTTTTGCACTGCTGAGTGACTGGGGGACCCAGAATGTTTATGGTCGGGAATGTGCCGATAAGCCAGGGGCCAGATTCACAAAAGCACTTACGAACCTGTACATCTTTTGTCAATCTTTGATGGCTTTGTTTACAATTATTAAACAGTTAATGAGCTCCGAAGCACCAGGAGGCTGTTTATAACAATAACAACAGTTGATTGGGAAGTTTTCATGCTTGTAAACTGTTTAATAAATGTAACCAAAGCCGTCAGAGATTGAGGAAAGATGTACACGTTCGTAAGTGCTTTCGTGAATCTGGCCCCAGATGGCTAAAGTGTTAAGACGCCTAAAGTATGGAGCTTCCAGTAAAGCACAAGAAGAAAACTTAAACTCCACAGATTTACCACAAAGCCAGTAAGGTACCAGAGGTGAAATAAATGAGTTAATAAGGACATAGTTCATAAAACTAAAACCTTGAAGCAAGACAGCATTTTTGTTAGCATTCTCTTGAACAATATGAAGTACCAAAATGACATTTTGACTAGGAAGATTTGAGTACTGTCAGCAGGCAAGCTGTAGCAGCCATTCAGTCATACATCATTATCTACTGTTTTTAAATGGCAGTAAACAATGGGCTAAAATATATATATACAGAACTCTTATATAAAGGAAATGTTTCACTGAGGATAATCTATAATAATAATGTGACAATATACTGTCATCAGAAGTCAACACGAAAGATTCGATACATTAATATTATCCTTTACCTTCCATTCACCCGGGCTGTAGGAGTCGAACCCTGGACCCCATGCGTATGAGGCCGTAGCTCTCACGCTTCGGCCTTTGTTTTTTCCCCATTTGTTATTAGCCTTTACTTAGGTAACACTTGAATCCTTGAAGGATTTCAGTTCTACTGCAGACTCCCTGAAAGACACTTCTGCATTCCAACACACATTGTCTCCAGCAATGACTTTGAAATATAAAGTGTCAATATTGATAAGTGTATATTTCACTAAACACTATGAGAATGCAGAAATGACCTAAGTTTTAGATAATAATATACTTCCGTTTAGCTACTCAATGGAGTACTGTATTTTCTGCTACTCATATCTGCACACGATAAAACAAATTCAGGTGTTTTGTTTTGAATTTGAATGAACAAGTTCCAACTTTAAATTTTCTTTTCTTTTATGTTGCTTTGTAATGAATTGTTGAGGATGTGGCATGACGTACCGCAGCTTCTCCCAGAACTTGGGATCACGCCACTGGAGGTATGTCCTTGTTGACAAATAGAGCCTAAGTTCGTCGTCAAGTTCGGAGTCTGGTGGCACCTATGTATTAGATATGTAATTAATTATGTATCAATTAAAAATAATTATATTAGTTAAATATGTAATTATTGACTTTACCACTATAACAAAATTTACAACTTTAAGATGCACATTACATTGGTGATCGAACATATAAATAGCATATTTACTATCATATGCAGCATGCATTCACACCTTGTAAAGTGAGATGGGGCAGAACTGCTCAATGGAAACTGATTTGGGCCATAGGGGGTAAAACAGCTTTTCTTATTATCCAATGATGATAATACTGATTTAATATTAATGCAATCAGATTTGAAATCAATGTTATTGATGATGACAATTTATATTTTCACATTACAGTACAGTATATTTCTAATTTGAAACAGAACTGAAAGGATTCACAGCAAATGATGCTTTGAAATTACCAAATAACTCTGGGTATGATTTAAACAGAACAAGACATTCGCTCAAACTAGCTTGAAACTCATTAGTACTGACTGCCACTTCCTGGCATTCCAAAACCGCCTGCCTCTAAAGAGGCAGTTAGTTACTCTCAAAGAACATGATAATATTCTTACTGGATTACTAAAATCTACTTACCTCTCCAAAAACAATAACAATGATCTTGTTAGTTTTATCTTTTAGGGCTTTGGAATGAGCAGTTTTAAACTCCAATTGCCCCCAGACGTTTTCAATAAAATTGGACGACAGTATCACAATGGTTCGGCTGCTGGCCTCAATACTCTGGTCAATTTGGTTCTGGATGTACTCTCCAGGGATCCAGTCACGGTAATGGAGACACACTTTGTACTTAGGATCACCAGATTCAAGACCAGGTACCAACACTGAATTCACAAATTCTTCATCCTGGAAATGTGCACCAAGCATTAAAAAGTAAAATAACATGCTTAATGCAACCGTGTATATATATATATATACTGTATATATATTTATTTTGTATCAATCCATGTACATCTTGTAATCATTAAATACATAATAAAGCACAAAAAAAAGAAGGAAGGGGTGGTAGGAGAAAAGCACACAGAAACTTTATTGGAGGGGACCTAAACATTCCCTTTAATGCATTATGTGTGGTTTCCTCTGAGGCTAAGGGTCCCCCTTCTTCCAGCCAGAGGTGGTATTTCCAATATTTCCATGATTCAGTGCTTAGCTCTTATGAAAATCATGAAGTTATTATTTAGTCAAATTTAATTTATTTTTTGTATTAAGGGCAGTTATTTTCTCTCCCAATTCCATGTATAACTAACCGTCCTGTGAGATAGTAATATTAGATGAACTTATAGCTAGTTTTTTTTATCTACACTATATCTATACCGGTCTGCGGTCGATATTACCGACGGTCGGTTTAGTCTCCGTGGTGTAGTGGTAAGACACTCGCCTGGCGTTCCGCGAGCGCTATGTCATGGGTTCGTATCCTGGCCGGGGAGGATTTACTGGGCGCAATTCCTTAACTGTAGCCTCTGTTTAACGCAACAGTAAAATGTGTACTTGGATGAAAAAACGATTCTTCGCGGCAGGGGATTGTATTCCAGGGACCATAGGATTAAGGACTTGCCCGAAACGCTACGCGTACTAGTGGCTGTACAAGAATGTAACAACTCTTGTATATATCTCAAAAAATCAGCGTCCCCTCACATGGCGACCAGGCCGCCACCGACCTGAGGACCTAGATTCAGGAAGCTCTGTGTATTTCTTCGTAAGTGGGTTTGCTACGAAGGTTCCTAAGTGCGCCCTAAGAAGATGCTTAGGTGCTATTCAATAAGGTATACTTAGGAAGAAAAATTGTTGGTTCACCTGCGTGCCGATAGAGGTCACTACTGTGTTTCGTTTGGCCAATCAGAGAGCAGCAACATTCTTCATATTGAAGATTTAGCGCTGGCTTATCGCAGCTCTACTGCCTCCTATTTACGTCGAATTTTCTTATAAAATTAGTATATTTCGAAGTAAAACAATGTTTTTTCAACTTCTACAGCCAGCACCGACATTGTAGTAAACAAATATGTTACATTTGTTGTTTACCTACGTAATTCTAAGAGATACTGTGTAGCTGTCCTTGTTGCTTGGAAGATGCGCTGACAATTATTGTATATATTTACTGAATTTACCCAAGGGCCACTAACTATCTAGTGACCTCGAAGAGGACAGAAAGCCGGCGGCTTGTTGAAGGGCCCGCCAATTGTCTTAATTACATTTTTTAGCTGGAATTTGGCATTTACGGCTTCAGCGGGTAGGCGGTTCCATGGGTTTATAGCCCTCTTGGTGGAAAAAACATCTGTTTTCAGTCCTACTTGAGAGAACATACTCTCCAACACTATATCTGTGATTGTCCTGTTATCAGTGACTTCATACCAAATGGTATGAGGTATTTTGAGCTCTGTAATTACTTCATACACTCAGGAATATTGGAAGATATTCTTGTGCTGCACCCAGATTTTGCCAGTGGAGGCTAATAGATCAGCATTAAGTATTTTGTTCTCTCCTAATTCCATGTATGACTGGCCATCCTGTGAGGTGAGCTTGTAGCTGGTTTTTGATCTACACTGTGTGGTCCTTTAGACAGAATAGGGAAGCAGCACATTGCTGTGTATACCTAAACATGTTTAAAAATACATTGTTTGAGAGGAGTTTTGTAGAAACTGGTAAGAGTAATTATAATATAATGTTTCCATGATTCAGTGCTTACCTCTTGTGAAAATTGCTTAGAGTTGTTTAGTCAGAGTTGATTTGTTTTTTGTATTGAGGCTGGTATTTTCTAAATTGATTCCATGTACAGTATGTCTAACCATCCTGTGAGATGGGAGTATTAGATAAACTTATAGCTAGTTTTTTATCTACACTGTGTAATATTCCATATAGAATAGGGTAGCAGCACATTGCTGTGTATACCTAATCTTCTTAATAAAAAAAATCAGTAATAAAGATTTTAAATTATAGTTTGTATTATTACAAATACAGTACTGTATTATCCTTATTAAATCATGTTGACCATGGATCATTAAGATCTCATGTTGATATGTAATACAAGTCATATTTCTTTTGAACTGCTAATCCATGCTAATCATTCATTAAATTGTGTATTATGTCTCAATTTTTCACTTCCTTGGATATACTGTACAGTACAAAAAGATAGGATAAAAATAAACCAGTAATATTTCTTTCATTATATTTTTCATTTAAATAACTGCATCAATATTTTTACAGCTGACAGGATTTGTTTTACCATACAGGTGCATTATTTGTTAAAAAGAATTTGGTTTATTGTTACACACAATGGTGCTACATAGCCTTCCCAGCTTGGTGCCTTCTTTTAATACTTACTGATTAAAAAATAAATAATAAATACATTTTATTCAGGAAAAGTACATACAGTTGATTTACAAACATAATGTTGGATTTATAGACAGAGCTAGTACATACAATACCTAAAGCCACTAATACTCATAGCATTTCGGGCAAGGTGTGGGGGAAAAAACACAGACTAAAACTTAGTAATCGGGATTAGGTATAAATTGTGTTGAAAGAAGGAATAAAAAATACAAAAAGGGGGGTTAGCATAGCATAACTCAGCAATTGCACATGTTGGTGAACAGCGTTGTTTAAAAAATAGCAAGACATGGGTTGACATTTAGGAGGTAAGTTAGGTTACATGGAGTTAATTAGGCAGTACTTGGTTTAACTCTTAAACTGGTTGAGAGAGGTACAGCCTTTGACATGATTCGGGAGGTCATTCCACATTCTGGGTCCTTTGATTTGTAGAGCACTTCTAGTTTGGTTACACACAGCCAAATTGAGTAACAGGAAGAGGTCTTGGACACAAATTTGTTCCATGCTAAATGTAGAGGAATCAGCTGAGTATTCCTCAAATAAAATAAGTTGCCTCAGCTTATAAGGTAAATAAAATAAGCATTTCTCAAGTAAGTAGCTGCCTCACCTCACTGCCTTACTGCTACATAGCCTTCCCGGCATGGTGCCTTCTTTTGATAATTACTTGTTCCACACCCAAATTGTATAACAGGAAGAGGTTTTGGACCCCTACTTCCCTCTCTCTTTTTTAATAATCTACAGTATATAGTCATAATTATAGCTTTAAGTATTCAATGAATAAAGTTTGTGACATTTTTACCCTTCTCCTTACCTAACATCATTTGTGCAGCATATTTTTATTTTATGTCTCACCCAGATTTAATTTCAAAATAAAACCAAACTAAATAAATTAGAAATGGGTATGTATAGCTAAGGTACACTCTTACTACTAGGTGAACAGGGGCATTTGGTGATAGTAAATGATCCCATCAGGCAGGGCTCATCACCTCTCATATTTCATGTTCACCAGTGTTTATTTACTTAATAACTACTGGTATAATATCTTGCTATTATAAAACTAATTCTACTATCATCAAACACATATTTACTTCAAGTTTCAAGCAGAGAATGCATATATAACTAACACGAAGGATTCCTCTTCACTAGATTCACCAGCTATAATATTTTGGTCATGTTCCAATATCATAAATCGATCCCAGTGTTATGTAGTAGAGAAAAAATGACTTATATCCAGTTTACGTAAAGCTACGAGTGGTCGAAACCACACTTAAATCCCGGAATGAACTTACGAAGGTTTTTCCACTTAGGGTACCTACTTGAATACGGACCTAGCCGCCACGAAGGCGCTAAGAAGGAATTCGCTCTTAGCTAAGAGGAAAAACCTTCGTAAGTACCTTCCTGAATCCGGCCCCTGGATCGTCCAGAGTCATATATTACATCTTAATTTTCTTTTAAAATGATTCACTTTAATGAAGAAAATTGTAAATTATTATTAATAAAATATTTTGAAACAGTTTTTATTAAGCAAAAGTCTTTGTTTTCTTATTAAATACCTTTTATAGTATAGGCACTAGGTATTTTTTTTCCCACGGACCTAGAATGTACTCCGCCGGGCCATGTGTTCCCATTGTTTACCGTGAGCTCGCGCGGCTAGCTTCAAGTGTGAAGGATATTACTGTACTGTAATTGTGATCTTTTTAATTTACAAAATGCCAAAAGTTACCCAAAGGAAGCGCCTAACGGTTGCACAGAAGCTGGAGTTAATTAAGAAACTTGATAAAGGATATTCTCATGCACGAGCAGCAGCAGAGTTTAACATCGGGAAAAGTACAGTAAGTGACATCAAGAAACAGAAGGATACTCTATTAAAATATGTGAGCACAACAGAGTGTGCTACTTCTGGTGCTGCATGTTCGAGAAAAACAGTAAAGTCTGGTCAGTATCCACAACTGGGTGCTGCAGTGTATAAGTGGTTTATTCAGCACCGCACAATTAGCATGGCAATAAGATTTGAAGAGCTTAAAGTTGCAGCAAGTAAACTTGCCATTCAATTAGGTATAAAAGATTTCAATGCAAGTGATGGGTGGGTTGGAAGATTTAAGGCTCGGCATAACATTTCAAACACCAAAAAAATTTCTGGTGAGGCATCAAGTGCTGATCCCACTAATGTTGATTCATTCAAGGCTAAATTAAACGAGTACATTGTCAGTAATAATTTAAGCAAATATCAAGTATATAATGCTGACGAGACTGGGTTTATGTGGCGAGCTGTACCAAGTACATCCTTAACCAGTAGGATGCAGGAAAATATTCCTGGACAAAAGATAAGCAAGAAACGGCTCTCAGTCTTGCTCTGTGCTAATGCTGATGCCTCTCACAGGACAAAATGTGCCGTGGTAGGCAAGTCTAAAAATCCTCGAACCTTAAAAAAATATAATGCAGGCATTACCTGTAATATATTACAATTCTAAGAAATCATGGTTTAATCAAACAATATTTACGGACTGGTTTGAAAACCACTTTTGCAAAGAAGTCAGAGAATTCCAGATCAACAAATGTGGAATAAAGGCCAGTGAGGTTAAGGCATTGTTGCTGCTAGATAATGCCCCTGCTCATCCCATTAGCAAGTTAATTTCAAGGGATGGCAGAATAAAATGCATGGCACTTCCACCAAACACAACATCCTTGATCCAGCCCATGGACCAAGGTGTTATCCTTGCTGCTAAACGTATGTACCAAACAGCAATGCTTGAAGATGTTTTAGTTGTTTTACCTAGCGAGGAAGATGAATTGACAGGAAAGGATACAAGGGCTCAAAGAACACTAGAAAATCTAAAAAAGTACACAATCAGGGAAGCAATATTCCACTGGGCTAGGCTTTGGAATAAAGTGAAAGAAACCACACTAACAAATTCATGGAAGAAACTGTTAACAGAGAGGCCTAGATGTGAAGCAGCAGTATCTGATAGTGAATTCGAAGGTTTTGAAAATGAAGCCAATGATTTTGAAGGGTTTGAAGAAACGATCCGAACAATGTTGCTCCAAGCTGGTCAGGGTGTACAAGTGAATGATATCAATGAATGGTTAGAAAATGATTACGATCCTGGTTATGAATTGTTAACTGAAGAACAGATTGCGCAAAGTGTTCTCGGAAATGACTGTGATGACTCTGATGATGACTCGGACGATGTTGGTGAGGCTCTGCCTAGAGGTGTCGGATATCAGAAAAGATTGGAACAAGTTGAGGAACTCATTGAATATTCAATAAAAAGTAAACATGAAGTTATTGGAAATTTTTATGTACACCTTACAGCCTTAAAGCAATGTCTCAAAACGTTAGCCAGAGAAAATCAGATTCAGACAAAAATAGATAAATTCATGATTTCAACGGTTCGTGAAAAATCTTCGTCGACAAGCGATGCTGCACCCGTCGATGCTGAATTACCATCGACAAGTCGTGGAACATCCGCCAGCAATGAATGCTCTACAAGCCATGCTGCACCCGCCGATGCTGAATTCCCACCAACAAGTCGTGGAACATCCGCCAGCAATGAATGCTCTACAAGCCATGCTGCACCCGCCGATGCTGAATTCCCACCAACAAGTCGTGATAAGTCATCCACTAACGATATAAAATATGATTGAAAGGCATATAAATTAGTGTAAAAAGTGTTGATAAAGTACAGTATTGTAAGTGTTAATGATTAATTAAGCCTAGACAAAAAGATACTGTACAGTGTAAATATACAGTAGAAATAATTGTCAATAGTGAAGTAGAATTAGAACTCATGTGAATTAGTAGTAAGGCTAGCTGTTGTGTGAAGTGAGTGCCTGAAAATAAGTGTACTGTACATACAGTATGTACCCTGTATACAATATAAACAATATAGAACAAGCGCTGCAGAGGATGACGTAATCATCACAGCTTCGTAATCTTCAGCTTCATTAAAAGTAAGTCAATTTACCAATTTTATTATAGTATTACAAGATATTAATTGTTTTTTTTTCAACAAAAGCTACATATTAGTCTCTGCAAATGTATATTCTATCGTCAGCAGAGAAAAGGTGAGCTCAAAATATTTCGTCTTGGCTAGCTCTCAGTGACAAGGCTTGATCGCCATTGTTATGGCATGGCCGCCACAGCCTGTGTCGTAACATTAAAAATACATTACCTGCACTGTTCAGGGTAAATCAAAACACATCTCTAAAATATTATTGAGAAAATATTAACTCACTGATTGATACATGAAATATTTTGCAATACAAAGGAATGAATCAATTTTTTCCCACCCATCTGGACTTGATCAGAGCGTTATCTTGAGATTATCTTGAGATGATTTCGGGGCTTTTTAATGTCCCCGCGGCCCGGTCCTCGACCAGGCCTCCACCCCCAGGAAGCAGCCTGTGACAGCTGACTAACTCCCAGGTACCTATTTACTGCTAGGTAACAGGGGCGTTCAGGGTGAAAGAAACTTTTGCCCATTTGTTTCTGCCTCGTGCGGGAATCGAACCCGCGCCACAGAATTAAGAGTCCTGCGCGCTATCCACCAGGCTACGAGGTCCCCCCTGTGTGTTCACACATCATCCATGCAGCAGCCAGCAACTGGCTTAATCGTCGGTGTGGCACTAAATTGGAATGCAATTACACAATGAACTTTATTTAATTTTAGTTATACAGTATAAAATATAACCTACCTGAATGTTACTTGAAAAATTACCCGACCCGACTTAACTTCGGAAATAACGGAGCTCCGGAAATAACGACTAGGGTACAGCCCCATATAGGCCGTTAAATTGAGTGGATACTGCACTGTGTAATCTTTCATATAGCATTGGGTAGCAGCACATCGCTGTGTATATATAAGCTTGTTAATATAAAAAAAAATTACAAATGCTGTACAGTACAGTATATACCATACAGTGTACAGTATCATAATACAATAGAGTCAAAATAAGATTATAAAAGTAAATAATATTCCATTGTGATAGGTGTATTATAAGCAGCAATTCATATACAGTATATTTGTTTTAAAAGACTTACTTTGTTTGAATAGCTGATAAAAGCATCATACTTCTTGTCAGCGTCTTGTTCCTCTTGTGCGACGGCCCACAGGCACAAGCGATGGGTAAATAACCACACTTTAATATCCTGCTGATATTTATAAACACTTACGGTTCCTGTAAAAATTAAATCGTTAGAAAATCATGTGGTCTGCTGAGTGTGAAATTAAAATAACATATTTTATGATGGTTGAAAGAAATTAAAGCATGTAATATTGTCCCAATACTGTATACATGAACTTAGTCATTGAAGATTCGGACTTAATATTTTATGTGGTACTGAACAATATTTGGAAATACTTATTTATTACAGTATACAATGTTATTTTTGTTTAATACTGTATACAGTACCATGTGTCTGGTAGTAAAATTCATTTATATGCAATTTCTAAACATACATTAAACCCTTTGGCAACACTGGATGTAATTACTACATTATACTGCAGTGTATATCTATATACATTATATATATATATCTATATACTGTATATAACTTGTATCATCTGATTTGTTGAAAATACTGTTAAACAAATATGGTATAACTTGAATAAATGATGAGATTTTGTTTGATGAAATCTGATTTCCAAGAGGAAGGTTTTCAATTTACTGGCAGATGAAATAAGTAATTACCTAAGTGTAGTTACAGAACGATGTAACGGGGGGTGGGGGAAATAGCTCTCTCTTGTCCATTATTCCACCCTCCAGTTAACTAACGAGGCCCGGGGGAAACAGCTCTCTCTAGTCCGTTATCCCATCCTCAGTTAGCTAACTATTCTAGAGCACTCCCAGAGTTCCTAAGGCAGCCTCTCTCGTTCAACACCTTGTAACCTAGGTATTTGACTACCTAGGTGCTAAGACTACAAGGCGCCGTAACTGGATCAGCTACCCGAAACTCTAGAGAGAACTCTAGAACACATTTTCACTGCCACTACGCTCGTGGTGTCCTGTCTTCCAAGCACTCTTTGTCATATAACGCTTTGAAATTGTCCATACTATTCTGTACACGAGATACCAAGGAAGATTAATACTCACCAAGTACAAAAAACAGGAAGAGGAAGATGGTTATAGAGGTGATGCTGGCTATAATCATAGGCTGCTGGATAATGGGGCACAGGTCTTCTTTTTTCACTTGAATTAAAGGCTCCTCTATGTTGAGGCAGATTATGTTATGGGAGTCAGTCACCTGTATACATCAATCAGTGTTACTGTCATAGTTAAATCATTTTTTTTCAGAAACTGAATTATACATTTTCTATTTTCTGTTCAGATTCATTATTATTTATTTTGTAAAACACAATAATACTTAAATAATACATACTTTTTATTCATTTTATTTACATAAATTCCCACATATTGGCTTCTCTTACTTAAATTTCTACTTGTCCCCCTTACTTTAATCTTTGAGTACCTTAGATATTAAGTCACTGCACATCCTCTCAAGTGTACTTTATACTGTATATATAAAACTCTGAACTGTAATGCCAATCCTGACCTTAAACGCTTCCAAGAAGGTTGTAACAGAACCCAAGAGCACCACACTAGAAACAAATACCTATTTGATATTCCAAGAGTGCGACTTAACCAAACTAGAAATGCTCAGCAAATCAAGGAATTTGCAGAGCATTTCCCTTGATTCCATAAATGTGGAAGGACCTTCCCAATCATGTTAAAAACTGCCCTTCTCTCAACCAGTATAAGAGGAAAACTAAACATGTTAACCCATGTGTTGCTATTATAGAACATTAATGAATGAACTTGTAAAATTGCTAATATATTTGCCGTGTAAAAATTAAAGAGAATTCCGTGCCTTCTGTTTATTTAGTGAAAATTACTATCTGCTGTCTGTTCAAATTTCTGCTGTAACAGTCACCATGTAATTAATGTCATTTATTTTATTTTTCTAATTCGGTTAATTTTAGCTCGTATCTCAATTAGTTTTAAGTCTTAGTTTTTATGTTTAGTTTTACCACATCATGGCCAAAATGCTGTGTATTAGTGGCTTTAGGTTTAGCATACACTCGGCCTACCTAGATATCTAACATTCTTCTCGTATTCCATTTTGTATGTATGTACTTTTTCCTAAATATTATTATTATTATTATTATTATTATTATTATTATTATTATAAATGTCTTACCTTTCTGTTGGGCTCCCGAAGGAAATTGTGTAAGTCGTCAAGATCACAGTTGCACCTCCAGGGATTGTCTCCCAGACTAAGAATAACAGATGAAGAGTTAAAAAGCTCTAATATTGACTTTGGAAGAGATGTGAAGTTATTACCACGGATGTCGAGAACTTGCAAATGTTGAGGTAAAACTGAATCATTAATAAATGATAGCTTATTATTTGGTATTGTCAGATTCACAAGACTTGAATATTCCGGGTCTTGAAGACCACTCAAGTCTGTAATAGAGTTGTTTCTCAAATTTAAAGTTATTGAGAGGTTTCCTTCAGGCAAGTAGTTATCCTTTAGTTTTGGTATGGCTTTGAGTCCTTGATATGAGCAGTTAATGATGAACATTGTATCATGGGGTCGTGTAAAGCAAGTACACATGGCAGGACAGCTCTTAAGTCTGCACACTAGACTCTCCGTGTTAACCGCCTTAACAGGAAACTCTATGTTCTGCTTCTCTGGATATGAACATTTTACTTTATCTTGATCTATAACATTAAGCTGGAACATGTTTTCAGTCTCTTCAGCTCTTCCTTGTAACAGTCTTGCAAGCTGGTAGATATCACAGTTGCAAATCAATGGGTTGCCTTGAAAATACACATTAACAGTCTTTTGGGAATGAATATATTCCATTTCTTGTAGGGATATACCTTTGATTTTGTTATAGCTAAGATCAACAATCACATCATTTGACATGAATGAAAGATCATTGCTCTCCAAATATTCAATATTATTTCCTTTTAAATTTAGTTTTGCTAGCTCTTTTAACTCTGTACTAAATGCCTGTGGTACAGCATTTATGCTGTTGCTGCTTAGGCTCAAATCATGTAGTTTTATTTGTTCAGAAAGAGGAAAATGCTCTTCAACTGTGATCTCTTGAGAAGCTATTGATGTACTATTTCTGATTGAAGAAAAAGATATATTGTTGTTGCTCAGATCTAAAACTTGAAGGGTTGAAGTTGGATGTGGGAATGAAGAGCTGTGGAGGACATTGATCTTGTTGTGGCTCACATGGAGATTGTTGAGGTTTTCACAGTTCTTAAAAATATTATCAGGTAGTTCACTTAGGCTATTGTTTTTCAGAACTAATGTGTTCAGTTTCCTCAAGTTATCAAAGGAGCCATGTGGAAGATATTCCAGCAGGTTTGACTGCAGGTCCAGTGTCTCAAGACTTGTCAGGTCTGCAAACACATTAGGAAACAAACTTTTTAAACTGTTTCTGTTTAATTTCAGTTTGACCATGTTATTTAGTCCTTGAAATGTGTTCTCTGGGATGTTGGCAATTTGGTTATTGCCGAATTCCAGTGTATCAATTTTTTTTGAATTCTTGAATAGCTCTGAAGGCAATGCAGGAATCTTATTGTATTCGGCATTGAGAATTTCCAAACTTGGACAGTTATGAAAAATATCCACAGGGAGAGATTCAAGCGAGTTTGTATTTAGCAAAATCTTTCTAAGGTTTGGAAGATTGGAAAACACTTTTGAATCTAGGTGTAATATATTGTTATGTGAAAGTTCAAGAGACTGCAGATTTGGAATTGTTGATAATAATTCTGGACGAATTTCAGTCAAGTTATTCTTCCATAAGCTCAAATTTGTCAATTTGGGAAGATTTGCAAACAAATTATCTGGCAAACTAGTAAACTCATTTGTATGCAAATAAACTTCTGTGAGGTTTGGTGTACTTGCAAATAAAGATTGTGGGAGAGTTTCCAATTTATTGATAGAAAACCTAAAATGTTTCAACTCTGGAGTTGCTTTTAATAGATTTTGTGGTATGGAAGAAAATTGATTGCCATCAAACAACAAATTCTTAAGATTGCCGAGACCTTGAAGGTGCCACTCCTGTAAGTCATATTGATCTCTCTGACCAACATCAACAAATAAGAGAGAAGTCACATTCTCTGGATGTATACCAATTTGTTGAAAGAACTCGCTGAAAGACACATTAAACAAAGGACACCGCTCAAAACGTACATACTTCACAGAAGAAAACTGACAGTCCTCAATTAGTGATATATTGATATTTTCCGCTTTATGATGGCACTTGAGAGTTAAAGCACTCTGTGGGTAATCTTTGAGGTCACTTAATGTGACTGTGAATTTCTGCGCGTGAAATGAATCTGGACAGGTAATCTGATTAGAGCTTCGGTTTATCTCGCATTTGCTGCATGCAATGTTGGCATAACTTGTGCGCGTCCACAGGTATAAGAGGTGGAGGCCCAGTATCATCCATGATGCCATGATGATGATGATGGATCATTTGAACAATCTTTCTGTTCTGGGATGTTGTTGAACAGTTGCTATTGATGGTGATCACCTAGAAAGAAAGAAAACGACATTGTATAATATATTCTTAGATGCTTTGTTCATTCTTAAAAATTTATTCTTGAGAAACACTATGACTTGAAAATCTTTAAAAGTGGTTGAAACGTCTGCTGAGAAGTTCTACGGTAGTTTATCCAAAAGTGCTGTAAGCTAATTGCCACTTAAACTCCATGAGAAACAAATGTCAACACATAAAAGTGTCAAACTAAGAAACAAAAGCAGGTTTAGTTTTTATAAACAAAGGTATACACAGCAATGTGCTGCTATCCTAGGTTGTAAAGCTATTGGCACATCGCGTTCATGGGAAAAGTATTAGGGTTAAGGCTCAAGATGAGCTAAAGCAGGCAGAGCTCTAAGCTTGATAATACGAAGAGGAATTATTAGGGGAAAAGCGCCAAGCCAATTCGACTATATAGCAATTGGAAGGGATCAGGATAAGGATTTGGGATGGGACGGTGGGAAAGGAATAGTGCCCAACCACTTGGACAGTCGGGGATTAAACGTCGACCTGCATGAAGCGAGACCGTCCAGCCCAAGTGGTTAGGACTGTACGAGCTTTAGGAAGAGTGAGCTCTAAGTCTACTACATGAGGTGTTATGAGCTGCACCCTCCTGTGAGACGGGAGGACCACCTCACACGCGCCGAATGAATTTCCCACAATGTGTGTGACGTCGAGTTTCTGAGAGTCGCCGGTTCCGGCCCCTTGCAATATGACGTCAGTTCAAGGTTGGAGAAGAATGTTTGTGCATGTTGCTGCATCAGTGTTGGCGCTCAAGAGCTGCACTTCAACTACAAATAATATAATACAAAACAACGAGTATTTTGGAGGAAAGCGTCCGGTTATGCGTGAGAACCCGATGGCTTATTGCAGAACTGGACGCATCAATTCCCATGCAATTTACACAGTGGAGGATCTTAAAGTCTACGGGGCCAGTGTCGGTTGTTAATCACCTAGATAACTGGTCACTGGTTCGTGACTCATGTTTAATACAGGACGTATCCATACCCTTTAGGGGTATCCAGAGCCTTCGAGGAGGTATCCATTCCCCTGTAAGGGTATCCAGAGCCCTCGGGGGTATCTATTTCCTTCTGGGGGTATCCAGAGCCCTCGGGGGGGGGGGGGTATCCAGGGACCTCGGGGGAATATCCATTTCCCTCTGGGGGTACCCAGAGCCCTTTGGGGGTATCCATTTCCCTCTAGGGGGTACCCAGAGCCCTCGGGGGGTATCCATTTCCCTCTGGGGGTACCCAGAGCCCTTTGGGGGTATCCATTTCCCTCTGGGGGGTACCCGGAGCCCTCGGGGGGTATCCATTTCCCTGTGGGGGGTATTCAGAGCCCTCAGGGCAGGGGGGGGGGTTACGACAACCAAATAATGGGGGGTATGGGACTCAGTCTCTTAAACAGATTGAAAACAAAGTTGTTAGATTAGAATTAACTCTGACCGTCAGTAAGTGTAGCTTGATGCCATGTTTTGAGTGCACCAAAAACGTTAAGAATCTCACTAGTCATAGTTATTTGGAATATATATATATATGTTTTGTCGTTTATTTTACCTAGAAAGAAATGATAACATCCTTATTCTTTACAGCTGTTCTGTTCCAACTCTTCATATGTAAAGTGTAACCAAGTTACTGATATATTTTTGAAGTTCAAGTTGAAGTTCAAGTATGGTTTATTGAGACAATACATCTCAAAGGGATAGATTAGTTTAGGCTATTTCTACCCCCCTCCCTATATTTTTGAAGTTCAAGTTGAAGTTCAAGTATGGTTTATTGAGACAATACATCTCAAAGGGATAGATTAGTTTAGGCTATTTCTACCCCCCTCCCTATATTTTTGAAGTTCAAGTTGAAGTTCAAGTATGGTTTATTGAGACAATACATCTCAAAGGGATAGATTAGTTTAGGCTATTTCTACCCCCCTCCCTATATTTTTGAAGTTCAAGTTGAAGTTCAAGTATGGTTTATTGAGACAATACATCTCAAAGGGATAGATTAGTTTAGGCTATTTCTACCCCCATCCCTATATTTTTGAAGTCGTGTTGGCATGATAATGTAGACATATTGGGTAATAATCTATAATCGTTAAAATCGCTAATAATCTATACTCGTTGGGTCTATAATCGTTAAAAGGTTAAGATTCTTGTAAGACCAGTGTATATAGTAGGTTACTGGTACACGAGTTAATAATGGTTCAAGGGCGGATTAATAGGTCGTCACGACTATGTTGTGCTGGCCATGATAAAATTATGAGAAGTATTATGACAAGAAGACAGCAAAATGACCGCTGGACAACAAGATGGAACACACCAACAAATTGCTTCAAGAATATGATACCAACATCGAACCATATATAAGATGTCACCCTAACCCCAATGGACTTTGAAGCTGCCATAGACAGCACGCACGCACGCACGCACGCACGCACGCACGCACGCACGCACGCACGCACGCACGCACGCACGCACGCACACACACACACACACACACACACACACACACACACACACACAATCCCATCCCTAATCCTTATCCTGACCCATTCCCAGTGCTATATAGTCGTAATGGCTTGGCGCTTTCCCCCTGATAGTTCCCCCTTCACCAGGCAGATTAAAATGAAGATGTGTCGCCAATCTCTAATGACCTAGTGATATGTTGTACGTCAAGAACATGATACCACAACCCGTAGAGGCCCGATAATGCAGGAGACAGCAGGCCTCCATCCACCCAACACCTGCGTGCATACGTGTGTGTGTAGCCTACGCTTGAAACAACACCAGTGATATGATAACCCCCGGGTGGAGACAGGGGCGAGGGAGCAATACTGCCGGTCATCATTACGGAGGAAGACAGCGCCAGCCGTGGGCGAGGCGGTGACGGCCAGTACTACCAAGGTCAATACGACCTTCCTGTATACTCGCCTAGTTGTGCTTGCGGGGGTTGAGCTCTGGCTCTTTGGTCCCGCCTCTCAACTGTCAATCAACTGGTGTACAGGTTTCTGAGCCTATTGGGCTCTATCATATCTACACTTATGATTTCAAAGCGTTATATGACAAAGTGTGCTGGGAAGACGGGACACCACGAGCGTAGCTCTCATCCTGTAACTACACTTAGGTAATTACTTGAAACTGTGTATGGAGTCAGCCTCCACCACATCACTTCCTAATGCATTCCATGTGTATGGCTCAGACGGGGTTCCCAAGCCTAACAATCGGCAAAATTTATGATTGTGTTTTGTTTAAATAAATTTTTTTTTTAAATTAAGTTTTTTTTAACGTAAATTTGTACAGGTGCTAAATTATGAACATAAATAACATCAGGAAACATCTCTCACCTGTTCCCAGTGAATGGGTCAGTCCCTGTTTGTTGTTTTTGTTGCAACTCAAACAAATATGGCGTCGTGTTCTTAAACAAAAAACACCATTTAAGTGAATTGCTGTACTTTATATCCATACTCAGCCTCTGTATCATAGAGTATATGAACTTTTCACCACTGATAATTCCCATACATTACCCGCCTCGCAGATTGTACTCGAGTATCCACGTTACACTCGGTAACAAATCCTTTTGTTCCAGAGGCAGTAAAATATGACGTTCCTCTGTGACCTTTGTCTCTGTCAGCTGTAGATAAGGAGTCAGCAGCCTCCTTAAGCCTTAAAGATGTCTACCCAAGCTGTCAGAATATACATACTCAGACACAGCAACGTCTGATAGGGGAATAATAGACATGTTCTATCCTTTGGAGACTTGAATAGTTGGAAAGTAACATTTACTTCCCCCAGGGAACATATAATTGACTTCCTGGTTGATGGGGTTCTGGGAGTTCTTCTACTCCCCAAGCCCTGCCCGAGGCCAGGCTTGACTTGTGAGAGTTTGGTCCACTAGGCTGTTGCTTGGAGCGGGCCGCAGGCCTCATCTCTCTTCCTGTCTCTCCTCGGGGTGTAGTATATTGTTGATTAAGATTTAGCTACTCAGAACGAAATGTCTATGTAACACGGGTTATAGTGAGCCCGTAATTGAGTTCGGTTATTCGCGTTAACCTTGTTACTCTGATATTTGGGTCGAAGTATTAAATGGAGGTGGGGTTTCCTCCTTTTTCCCTGTTTCTTTTTCGCTTCTGTTTTAGTGCACGGGTTTTAGTCGGATGCAGTAGAAATACCAGGTGGACACCACACCAGGCAGAGAGGCCAGGTGTGGTGACAACACCAGGTATATACACCAGACAACACCACACACCAGGTGTGTGGCGGCAAGCCTGCAGAGTGCGTGTCTTCACCACAGGTTGTCAAGGGCCTGCGGGCTGTAGCAGCAGACCCAGACACACCTGAGCCACACCAGGTGTGCTTTGTTTACTCCCTATAAGCCTACAGACCTGTCTCACCCCTCCACACACCTGCCTCACCCCTCCACACACCTGCCATACCCCTCCACACACCGAGCCTCGAGGTACAGTGAAGAAACAAGTGATCCCGGCAACACACCGAAGCCAAGCCAGTGTTGAAGAGAATCCACAACTGGCTTTTAGGAAGGGAGAGTGGATAAACGTTGCTATACCCGGGTGGGTCGGGGGTAGCTGCATGGAATAGAGGTGGAGGGGGGCCGGGTATGCAGGATAGTCGGGTATGAGGATAGTTGAGCCTCCGAGGGCGTCAGGACGGGTTTGGGCGGTTACTTTGCTGTGACATCCAGTCCAGTATCAATGATGTAGCAACCCATTCTCCAGTCTGGAGACAGTCCGGGGTTCGAGCGAGACTAAACTCGTATCGTCGCCATTGTCTAGACCTTCTACAGGACCGTTGGGCACGGTAGATCATCTACAGGACCGTTGGGGGTACGGTAATTTCGGGGCTTAGCGTCCCTGCGGCCCGGTCCTCGACCAGGCCTCCTTTTTGTTACACCCCTCCCAGGAAGCAGCCCATAGCAGCTGTCTAATTCCCAGGTACCTATTTACTGCTAGGTGAACAGGGGGGGCATCAGGGTGAAAGAAACTCT